CATCGGCATGCAATTACAGCAGGAAGGAGAACGGCCACTGAGATGAATGCTGATCGGAATTGACTGAGCATGAGAGACAGAGACTCGCCGTCAATGAGTAAACAGCAGTCAGTCTTGTTTCGGAGGAAATCAAGGGCCTCTTGTGCAGCCGATTTGTCTTTGACTTTAGCAACAGTATGAATATACTGACCACGAGCCACCAGCTTTGCGGAAATTGCGACACATCGTGCCGTCTCCACCTTGTCCCCAGTAAGCATCCAGATTTTGACCCCGGCGTTGCGCAGAAGCTCAAGCGACGGCTTCACATCCCTCTGGAGGCGGTCTTCCACACCAGTGACACCGAGCAGTTCCAAATCATGCTCGAGGTACTCGCTAACCACCTTTGCCATGCCGATATCACGTCCTTGAAGCGAAAGAGATGCCTGTTTGTATTTGCTGGCGAACTCTTCGTACTGCAGAGCAGAAAGTCGCTTCCTTCCTACTACAAGTGTACGCAGTCCCTCGCGAGCCATGTTAGCCGTTTCCTCATCAAGCCAATCGTTGGCTGCAACGATCGAGGTCATGACGGTATCCGCTCCCTTTTGGTAGAACCAGATCTCTTCCTCCTCTGTTGGAGAGTCAAGGATGCCTTTCTCCGTATCGAATTTGACAATGATCCCCATGCGCTTACTATCAGATGTGAACGGGAAGATGTCGAGGATGCGCACCCGCACAACAACATGTCCAGTGTCGGCCGACTCGAGCACTATCGTTTGGCGGTCGCGATATGATAGCTTTAACCCAACATCCTGAGTGTAGCGTACAATTGCGATCTCGTCCGGCGATGACGCTTGGTAGCTCGTTACTTTGACACCATCTTCTTCGTCTGTGGTGGGTGTAACATTGTGGCACAAAGCAAGAGCCAAAACGATGTCTCGGACACGAGAGCCGATCTCTCTCCTCGTGCGTGGCGCCGCTCCAAGTCCAGCTTGGTTTCCAAATGCGGCCGAAGCGGTTGTCAACGTATTTCCAGCGAAGCTCTGTCGAACGTATGATGCCACTTCCTCCATCGCGTCATTTGCATAAGAGACAGTACCCACATGGATCTTCTTCAACTCCATTTCTGTGAACGTCAGCTTCATTCTTTTCTCATCTCGATTTGTCCAGGCACTCACCGTTCTGCGTCAAAGTACCCGTTTTATCGGAAAGAAGGTATTCGATTCTCCCGAGATCCTCAGGGATTGTACTCGTTCGCACCACGGTATCGGGGATATCCTTGTCCCTCTCTATAAATCGACCATATACCGTCTTCGCCATATCCAAGTTGACACGCAGACTCATAGGAATTATCGTGGAGAAAAGAATAAGATAAATCATAATGGCAACATACCATTCTTTATCATTCGTCGGTTGGAATCCTTCCAAGGCAACCAGGATTATCGACAGAGATAAGGTCAAAGCACATAGAATCTTGGTCAGGTTGTTGATCTCAAACTCCAACAACCCAACCTTGGACCGAGAGGGTGACGTGGAAAGGGCTGCCCGCGTCTGCGAGCCAGTATAAATAATGGCAGCGTATGTAATCGTGTTCGACGCAAGAACAGTGTTCGCCCAAGCAGTATTGTCTATCGAAAGCGGCGCAGAGCTGTTCTGTTCCTCATCATCCTCGTTTTCACTTCTTTCGTCCGTCTTGTCAACATGAGGATCATAGAATCCCAAGGGCGGCATCATCTCGACGTTGCCCACAAAATCATTAACTCGTTTATCTGGCCCGCTTGCGGTTATCTTTAATCGTGTGAAATCCGAAAGTGACAACGACTGAGATAGCGCAGATGGCAAACGCAGCTTCCAGTCGGTCTCACCATCGAGCTGGTCAGTTCGTATAAAAGTATCACTAGCGGAGGAGGCTTCGTTTTGATCGGCATCCGTACTCGCTCCCGGGTCCTGATTAGGAGCAGACGACGACGATTCGTTATTTGTACGGTCGATTTCGGTTGAAGCACCTGTTCCCTCGCCGTCGCGAACAGCATTGACATCGTTGGAGATACTTTTTAGAATGACAACATCCGCGGGAAGACGTTGGTTCTTGCGTACTTTCAGGACATCTCCGACTCTCAGGTCTCGAGATCTTTTGATAACCACCGGAACGTTTTCCTCTCGCGAATGCACATCCTCAACAACCGGGAAAGACCTGCCTCCACCGGATTTATCCAGAGCAAGAACAGAGAATTCCTCCGCATTTGCCTCTGCATCCCGTCTTCTCCGCCCAATATCATCCAAAGCCTCCTTTCCCAGGGATATAGCCACAACGAATGCCAAGGGTGCGATATACGTAGACATGTAGCCTATCCGTAGCACAGGAATGATCTGAGACAGGGCAACGAGTAGGAAATAGATGTTGAAGAAGAAGGAAAATTCGTTGTAAAGCGTGCGCGGGAGGAAGCTCCACGGTGTATACTTCGCATTCGAGACAATATTCGGCGGGTATTTCGTTCTCTGTGTTTGTCCGACGAGAACGTCTCGCGGCGGTTTCACTGCGGCTTCCTTATTTCCACCTCCCATGATACCACCTAAGCCAAACAACCCACTCCGTTTCAACCATCCTAGTCTAGATTTCCTTTGGGGCGTTCGCCCACCTGGGGCAAGGGAGCCACGGCGTTCGTCAAGAAGCGGCGCATCATCATCGGTATACGGTCGAGAACTTCCATGGGACGGTCGGAGACCTTCCTCCTCGCGGTCGTCAAGTAAACCAGCCGTATCCTCCTCCCCGTGTGTACCAGACATACTTCGTTTCCATAGCCGCCGATTTCCGGCACCAACGCGCAGATTCCTCAAAGCTATCCCTGGGCCAAAACTTCTTTGCTGGGGTGGGTCCTCCCTTGAAATCCGAGCTGCATTGTATGTGGATGTTGGGTCCAGTTCCTCCAAGTCAAGGTCATCGTCAGAGTCGATGCTGGCGCGGTCGTGGGCGCGGAGGTATTCGGAGGAAGGCATGGTGACTTTTTGGCTTTGGGAAAAGACAGTATCAAAGCTGGGCTCCAATATTTGAGGAGCTAAGTGTAGGCTCCAATATTGAATAAAAAGTTGTCATGTCAATGTTTTTTATGCTTCGTGGCTTCCAGGGTGTCCCGACAGGACCATTGTTGTCGTCAATATAAGCAGGCGACCAGGTTCGAAGGTATATACACTGGCGGAAATTTTCTAGCCGGGGCAGCGATAGAAGCCGACAAATACTCGCAGTAGGGGTAGTCGCAACGTACAAATAGTTGAGGAATCTCGCGGCCTATTCCCTTGTAATGCGCGACCACCGGAGAGTTAGTCACATGACAGAAACTGGCGTCAATGTGATTTGTCCCCTTGCGTTTCAGACATCTATGAGAGACCCAGCAAGGAAATTGGACTTCAATATATAGAGTACCTTAATGTCCGTTGGCAGGTACTAATTGTACTTTACAAGTTGGATAACTTTTTTTTGTTATCGCTGCCCACATGGCCCTGCGAGTTGAGAACTAACGCCCGGAGGGATCAACGTCATTCCACGGTTTGTGTGGCTAAATATATATATATATTGTTGTCTTCGACTAATTCGTAGTATTGGACCATCAACCTTCAATATGCTAGCAACATGGTTTGTTATATTGAATTATATTGATATGTCTAAGCATTCAAATTCTCAGATAAAACACTTCGAGCAAAGCACGCAATGCGAATAGCTCGCACCCACCTAAAACATGCCATGGTAAAGAGCAATAAAAGCTTCGAAAGATTCAACAATTCTGGATATCTACGCTCGAAGAATGAATGGACACGGACCAAAAGACGCAGCTAGTGGCTCGGATACTAAATGACAGTAAGAAACGAATGCCTCTCAGTACGAAGCAAAAACATAAAAGGCTCAGTCGCTGACATGACATGAAAAAGACAAGTAGAAGCATCCCACCCTGATACTGGTGTTAGTCCATGTGCCACTAACCCGACCACAAAGCACACAGGTACGTACCAGTGTTACAGGAGAGCGCCGGTAAGAACGTCGACCTGCGAGTTTGTTGTACCATGCCGCATCCAGTATTATGTTGTGTTGTAGTTGTAAGAGAGATTGTCGTTGAAGTGTTATTTCGAGGAGCGATATTCCGGAGTTCGTAGCTCAGATATTTGTGCTATTTCGTCCAGCATCTCATCTCAGCCGACCTGAACCTTGATTCATCCCGACTGGTTTTCGAACGCTAGGATCCGACAGCTGCCCTGGACTCGGAGACCGGCCGCCCTGCAGCCTAGCACGAAGTCTTTCTTGCGCAGACGACGCGCGCTCCAAAGACGGAGAGGAGCCCGCACTGGTAACGGACTGGTATGAATTGTTGCGCTGACCAGGCATCGGCCTTGCACCGCCGGGATGTAGCGAGGGTGAAGAGGCAGAAGCAGTTTGACTGGGAAGTGACGACTGACTAGATCCGGGATGCCCGCGCCCTCGTCGCAAGCTGGCCGTCTGAGATGGTGGTGCAGCGGCACCGCCTGAATCACCCCACAGATCTCCGAGCCCGCCACCCCGCCCTGAAGACACTGGTCCAGATGATGTGACATTCGAGGTTGCGATTACCCTCGCGGGAGCAGCATTGCGCTCCTTCGGATCTGGAGGAAGCCATTCCGGGAAGCGACGACCTCGCTCTATGTAGTACGCGCGGAGGACATTCGAGATGTGCGAGCAGTCTTCGTTATCGGGATCGTCTGCCTCGTCGGAGGTAATGGCTCGGCGAAGGGAATTTAGGCGTGTGCCGATATTCGAAAGGGCGGAGGAGGACGTGAACGACGAGAAATAGGAAGTCATTCTGTCGAGTGCTTGTGCAAGAAGAAATTGGGTATGAGAATGGCGAAAGGTGCCAGAGTAACTTTGTTTCGAGTCGGGTAGCTACTGTTTCAGTCCGGCACGTGATCGACTCATAGATATGAGCGCCATGCAGGGCTGAAGATCAATGCATACGTGGTTGACAACGCTAGGACTAATTTTAATTATGTACCATAGCCAAGATAACGACAAGGAAGATGTGTAGCTATATATGCAACTGCTGGGTATGACATGCCCACTCCGCGACAGCAACAAAACAACGCGATGAAAGCCGAACAACGCCAGACAAGTAAGAAAACCGTAAAAAGACCATAATGAAGGGTCTTGCTTTTTTTTTTTTTATCACCCATAGATCAGTTGGAGTATACCGGGGTTCCGCCCTAGGCGAAAAGGTTCTCCTTTCCAGCACCCTCAGTTTCATACTCGATCTCGACCTTGGGACCCTTCTTCCTCGGTTTCGGTTGCGGGGCAGTGAACTTCCTCTTGGAGCCAGGCTTCGTCTTCTTCTGCTCATCCTCGTCCGCATCTTCAGATCCGCTTTCCTCATCGCTATCTTCCTCATCCTCGTCGGAGTAGTCATCGCTCGAGTCCGCCGAGTCACCCTCACCAAGCCAATCCTCAAGATCTTCCAAATCTTCATCCTCCTCGACATCACTAACGTACTCGACCTCCCCAACACCCTCTTCCTCTTCCTCCTCCTCAAGTTCCCCATCATCCAGATCCTCATCCCTCTCGCCCTCACCCGACCGCTCCAACCCTCTAAGCACCTTCTTCCAGATACCCTCCTCCACGTTCAGCGGCCGGTCACCATAAGCCCCACTCCGTAATCTCTCAATAAGCTCCCTCTCAATCGCCCTCTCAACCTTTGCCGCGCTTTCTGCCTTGCGCTCTCTCGTCTCCTCCCTCCTCCGAATCTTAGGGGCCAACTTCGGCACGATCTTCTCCCCCAACCGCTCCTCCTCCTTCGCAAGCTTCTTCATCCGAATAGCCACCTGCGTCAGCCGCGTCAGGCGCTGCTTGCACTTGTGGATCAAGAATTTCGGCCAGTAGATCAGCCGCGCATCGAGCTGCTCTAGGGCCTTTGCGTAGTTCGACGACAGCCGCACCCGCTCCCATAGTTTGCTGGGCATATGTGCGCGCTCGATGGTCTTCATGTAAAGATACATCGCGCCGGTCTCGGGGTCGGACCGGATTGTTGCGTAGCGGGAGTTGGCTAGCGGGCAGGACTGCCGGTTGCAGAGACCAGTGACATTGTACTCATTGCGACAGAAATTTTGACCCTTTGTTGTCCTGAAGGGAGTCGAATGGTTAGTTAAATTTTCCTTCTCCAAGTGTAATTGAATTGGGCGAAACTTAGGTGAAGAACTCATCCGGCCTGGGAGTCAAACACCGCCTCGCTGGGTTGGGAACTTACTTGAGTTTGTAAGAGCAAAATTGCTGGTTAATAACCTGCCAGACGATTTCGTCGGAAGACATGTTGTTGAGTGTGAACCACACCGGTTCTGGCAGGAAAACAACAGTGGAGTTGGTAGATATAATAAGTCTCTGCGGAGGTTGCGAGCTTGTCTGCAAAAGAGAAAAAAAAAAGTTCGGATCGGTCCATCACGTGATGGTACTTGGATCTTATCGATAACGAGAATTCGAGGCCCAACGATTGGCCCGGAAACCAGAGACCCCGTGGTGGGTCTACGCCTCGATGTATAGAAACTGTTGGACAGTCGCAGTGAACTAAGTAGATAATTTTGTGGAGGAAATCAATCCTTTTCTGTTCATTTCGGTCATTGTCTATCACTAAATGCCGTTTATATCATATTGGATCGTCTAAGCGCCCTCCATTTGCAACATGCCGTCCCATTCAGTCCCATTTGCCAGCGGTCCGCCTGCAGCCAGCTCGGCCTCTTCAGCGTTCAACAGTTCATCACCGGCAAAACCCCATCCCATGGCCTCAAGTTCACGGACAAAGAAATCCCGTTCTTCGTCCATAATAACCGCACCCTCATCACCCCCCATAACATGTTTGTATTTTCGTAGATGCCACCAGTGTGTTAGGCCCCGAAGAGCTTGCTCCAGAGGCAGCGCTTCCTCAACTTCCGCATCAATATCGGAGCCAGCCAGCCAGTCATCCCTAAGCTCGGGGCGGCAGTAGAGGTATATAGCTGTAATCACACGCATATTGCCTTGGCGCCATTTGCGACCACAGTATGGAACCTGTGACTTGAAGAGTTTGAGTGTATAGAAACGGAGATAGGGATCGGGTATCTTGAGTCCTTTACGAAGTATGGTGCTAGATTTGTATTGCACGAGAAGGAGGCAACGGTGGGCCTTGTCGCGGGTTATTTTCTGCATAATGTGCAGGTAGTTGATAGCCGAGAAGAAGTTGCGGAAAGAGAATGTTGTGATGGGCTCGTTGGGTGGTGGCGCAGTTGGATACCCCAACTCGTCAACTTCTGGGCGATGGGCCGCCTCTGCAAAGCGTTGTCCAGCCTCGTCCAGACTATCCGCCCGCTTTGGCTCTGGCCTGTGTCGAGCAATAGGAGGGGGTGCTGCATCGTCCTCACTCTCTTGGTCGGAGCCAGTCACGATGTCCGGCGGCTGCTCCGAATGCAAATGACAGAAATGGAAGAAACTATAAACAGTCAGACGGCTGTAAAGGGAATACACCAGAAGTTACATACCCTAGTTCCTCGCGATCCGACCGGAGCGCTACCGCTTGGTCAATCTCCTGGTGGGCGAACATCTTGAGAATCAATGGCAGATAGTTTGAATCGAGTAAGAGTTGTGTCATATACTCGAATTTCAAGATGTCTACCGATAATTAGTCTCTGTGTAAAATGATAAATACCAGTAATAACTTACGCGATCTCTTGAACCACTTGAGCAAGAGTAGAAGTGAACCAGAGATGGCCTTGCCGGTAATTTCTCGCAAGCGAATATTGTCAAGCTCGTCGATGGTGGCATCGCAGTTGAGGTCTTCTGCATCATTGTTGAAGCTGGGTACGCCATTTACACCGTTGAAGCTTTCACTATAACTTTTGTTAAAACCGGCGATACTTTACAAACATATAGATCGCATACCTAGCTGAACCGGGTTGCCCGTTAGCCTGGTTGTTGACGAGAGCGCTCACGTTCGTCAAGACAATCTTCAAGAAAACGATTACCACCGATTGGAGGTGTACAAGTGCGTGCGTCTGTAGCGTTTATTAGAAAATTCCATTGTGGGAACAGAAGAGTATATGCTCACATAGAAAGTCTCAACAGCATCTAGGCGTTTTTGAACCTCGTCGTTATCAGTCTGCCTTTGCCTTGGGACCTCAGACTTGCGCTGTTCTCTTTCCTCCAAAGAGAAGTTTTCCAGGTCGTCCGCAATTTCGCCATTGCTGGCTTCTGCAACGCCAGGGGGCAAGTTGTCATCCGCATACCAGCCACGGTCGTACTTCATAAACTCCTCGCGCTCCTCCCAAAGTTGCCTCATTGCCCTCGGCATTTTGACGTGTGTCGAGAAAAGCTTCCCTGCCTCGATGACGGATGCAGGAACATCGCTGCCATCCCATTTCTTCCCCACGAGTACGTCTTGGATTTCTGCTGCACCCTTTCCTCCAATATCATTGCTAGAATTATCGAGTGGTGGATACATAAACGGGAAGTTCTGGTTTGTTTGGTAATTTTGCTTCTTTCCTGCCTTCCCGCCTGGTCCGATTGGAGATGGTGGAGGCGATGGAGCGGGAGTTGCAATGTGAACCGACTGATGCAGGATGGAGCCATTACCACCAGACACAGATGGCCCGACTCCGGAAAAGAGACCGGTTGAGGAGTATGATCTGCTGGGATGTTGAGGTAGAGGAGGGAGTATTGAGTTATTTTCTAGTTCTAGAGGGATCACGGGGGGCGGCGGGTTATACGCAGGGTATTTAGATGTGATCTCTTGCCGGAAGTTATGATAATCAAGCGGGGATGCAGTAAGAAAGGGTGTTCTTCTCATCGGGTCACTCTTCCCACCTTCGAAGGGTGGCTCCATTGCATCCTTGGCTTGCTTCAGACTGTCGCTACCTCCAAAAAAGAGAAGCGTGCATTTCCAAAACAAAAGGATGATCCTCGTGAGAGGAATATTGGACGTGTCATCCCATCGTAGCCGAGCGATAATCTCAATCAGGAACACCATCAACTCCGGCTCCAGTTTCATGATGCCGTCTTTCAACGGGGTATATTCGGGATCTTGTACTTCCTGCTTGCGTGCCACTTCGACTATCAGGTATAACGCCGTCAGAACCAAGCTTGCCTCCCGTTCTGCAGCAGCGAGCAATGCCGGATTAGTGCTCTCAGGAGTGGTGGCATTTCCTTCTGACGGAGCTGAAACACGAAGCCTTTCAAATGCTCGTAAGAAGCACCCGTATAGTGATTGAAGCCCGGCGCACTCATGAACGAGTTTTGCGTTATTCTCAATCCACTGCAGCTGAAGAGACCTGGTTTTAGCCTTCTCTGCGGACACGGCAGAACCTTCAGGATAGCTTGGTGCGCTCTTTCCAGCCGTGACGCTCCAAACCCCTGTCACGGCATAGCACACGATTTCCAACGCCTCAACGCGGACCATGATGTCACTATCCTGCAAGTTATCGAGTACTTCACTTAGAAACAGCTTTTGCATCTCGTTGGGGCCATCAAGCCAAGAAGTACGGGGAGAAAGAGAAGGCTGGTTCTCGCAAAATGAGCCCCACGTACGTTCAAAGGAAGATTTCATACCAAGAAGCATAGCTCGATCGAACTCGCTGTACTGGAACCATTCCTCAATCTCCTCGGAGAAAGGTTGAGTGTCTGAATACTCAAATGCATAAGCAGGCTGTTCGGCCTTGGGCATCTCCTGAACAAGCTGCCTCAATTGGGCTAGGCTTAGCGAGTTCGGAGCCGCATCGAGATTGTGTTGAGCAGGAGCCGGTGGCGGAGGCTGACGCGGAGGCGGAGGAGCTGCAGAATTTCGATGCAGCTCAGGACGCCTCGGTATATTGGATACTTGCTCTTGTGGCTCGCCTGCCGACGCATGCGCAGCCTTCTCCTGTCGTAGAACTTCCCCAACTTCTTCCATCATTTGGTCATCAGGAACAGGACTGATATCCGTTCCGGTTTGATCCACTTCATCCGCCTTGACTATGTGATGCTGCTCCATGGAAACATCTCCAGAAGCAGCGGCTTCATCCATAATGAAGCCAGCTGTATGTTTTGAAAGGTGATATCAAAGATAGGACGGGTATCAACAACAAGAGGAATTAATAAGTGTTGAAGGGCTAAAATAAGTGCCTCAAATGTTCAATTATTATCAAACATGTGAGTAGGACACTCCAGGTGTGACATGTTACTCGACCAAAGCAAGGGAAGACATGGTGTTCTGGATTGAGCTTGAGCCAGGAACGAAGCCTTCCCCGGTCCTGAAAGTTGTGGATCGGCGGGCGAGACCCCACCACGTGATCTTATCTCGATTACTAATGACGGTTGCTGCACTTTCCTAATCGGGAACTATATAGGCATCGGACTGTGTAGTGTAGTGTTTTTTTGTGTGTACCCATTAATACAAACCTGAAGCTGCAACTGAAAGATGGACGTTTATTTGCTGCAATTGAACTTTTAAACCCCCGCCTCTTCTCTAAACTGCTGCCCATTGATGAATTCACAACGACTGAACAACTTCGACCAGGAAACTGCCTTCTCTGCCTCACTCAATGTACTTGGGTCTGTCCTAGGTATTTTGTTCACAGTTACTGGCACAGATCCATGGTGACCACCAAACACCTGGAGTGTGATTTTATCAGGACCATCATTCGATGATGACGCTCTCTTTGATGCGTTCTTCGAGAAGGCAGGCGGCCAGGAGTTAACACCACTGTCCTCTCCATCCAGTGTAATCCCATAGATGAACCGGATAATCGTATGACTGAATTTTCCACCTAAGCTAAGCTGGCTCTCTGAATTATCACATCCACCGCCTAGGTTGTCGTTGTTGAACAGGTATGGTATATCGCTGAGATGCGAAACACGCCACATGGGCACGCCCATTGCTCTGAAGGCTGGAGTATACCTAGTTTCATTAAACTCGTAAAGTCGCACCTGTGATTTGTCCACACCTCCTTGCTGGACGTACTGGTAGGTAATGTCTAGCACTGGACAAGTGAACCAGATGTCGCGGTTCATCTGAGCGGCGCGATAGTATTGCGGGGAGATTTTACCGTCGTATTCGGGTCTTACCATGTGTTCAAAGTCTGTTAGGGGATAGAGCTGAAGGAGTTTCTCTTTCGTAGACTCCGACAGATTGTGAAGCCAAAGCCCGAAAGTACCGAGAACTTCCTCATCTGTCGAAGTAGATGGCGGTGCGTACCAAGCGCCATCATTCGTCACCCAGGAAGCAATTAGTGGAATCCCTTTGGTAAATTTGCCGGCGCGTGCTAGCCTTGAGGGCCGGTCTCGAATAAAGTCGTTATCTATGGTTGGGTAGAAATAGCCTTCTCCAAATGCTGGTCGGGCTGTCCGAGCAGCGGCAACGGAGAGATTAGTTAACACTTCGAAAGGAGCGTCTCGGAGACACTTTAACATTTGGAGCTCCTGGCCATGGCCATCACTGACGCATCCCACTTGTTGGGCAATGGCAGCTGTGTTATTAGCAACCAGGTCCGGATGACTGTTGAAGTTTACTCCCGGACTGCCTGACATCATGCTGGAGGTGGATGTCAGCATACAATGGATTAAATGGTTACACCTGCGGTCTACTCACACTGCCTGTTGAAATGGGACACTCTTTTCTCCGCCAAATGCCATTAGTTGCAGTCCGATGTCAGCAGCTCCCACGCTTTGCCCAACAACAGTAACTAGAAGGAATCTTGTCAGCCCTTGAACACTGAGAATGGATGAAAATTGTACCTCTTTCAGGGTCACCGCCGAAAGCCCCAATATTGTCACGAATCCCTGATTGATTAACGATGTCAGTATTGTGCGTCAGAATCAGCATTGGATATCACTCCATACACTCGAGAGCGGCGCGTTGATCACGCAGTCCGACATTCGTTTCCTTTCTCTCAATCAACGTTTTACTAGTCGCAAAACCGAAAACTGGATAAGAAATTAGCAACCAGCTTCTCAGAGCAAGCCTAGTTCAGCATATGTTCTTACGGCCCAGGCGGTAATTGATCCCAACATAAATCATCGGCCGCCCATCAGCCACAGATTGCTTCACCAAGCCGTCTGGCTTGTACAAGATCTCAGAAGCCGAGCCCAAAACATGGCCACCTTTTGATCATCAGTATGTTCTTCTATGGCTTGTTCCCAGGCAAGTGCCATACCTCCGTGAAGCCATGCCATCACCGGGAGCTTTGCATCGCTCTTAGTTCCCCTTGGCCTCGCAATACGCAGACTCAGACAATCCTCGCTAATATTGGTGACTCGGCTTGTAAACGGCAGTACATCACCAGTCCCCTGAGGACACCATGCACCAGCCTTGGTAGCATCGATGACAGAGTCCCTTTGTGGCCTCGTTGGAATCGGCGAAGCAAAGCGTCGGTGTCCGGTTGGTGCCTCCGCATAGAAAATATTCTGAAAATGCTCGATATCAGATGACCGGGTGCCTTTGTAGGTGATTTCCCGTGTCGCGTCCACGGCGGTAGGGCTCTTTAGTTGGAGGTATACTGCGACGAAGCAAACCTGGACGGCGAACAAAACCGCCAGTTTTGTCAGGCTGATCATGATGATCGCTTTGCCAAGGGTATAAGTATACCAAGCGGGTTTTATAACTCCCTTATGTCCTTTTGTCTAATTTTGGAGGTTAAGAGATGAAAAAATGGGTATGTAAGCAAGATAGATAGGGCGACGGATGGGGCGGATGAGACAGCTCACTGTATGACGAACCTTAATGCAGCCTGGACCTTCCAAGTGGACAACACCCAAGTTCTTTGCTGCTGACACGCCCCTCGTTGGTCTTCTTTCTTGCCGAATTTCCCGAACAGTTCTCTGATCATTTCGGGATTGTCATGGTTGATGTCGGGCTGCGAAGAGCCTTGCCGCGGATCCGTCAGCGACCCAGCGTCAGCGGTGGCTGACTGCAGCTGGCTATAATTCCTGTCCAAGATGCTCTTAGAGAATTTGCACTTGGAAAACTGCAGGACTTTATAGGAAATTGAATCCGTGGCTGGTTTTGTTGTTGTTTTGATTCACTGTACTTTGGAGCTTTGCTATGGCAGCCCTGACGCATATTATCCTGCTGTCAGCCTGCCAACTTGGAAGATGTGCTATATAAATAAGCTAGGGAAATTGTTCGCAATTACGAAATGGTCTAGATCAGAGTCTACTAATAATTGCACACCGGCTTGTCTCGACGGTGTGCATGGGCCTCAACGACCATTTGCAAGAAATCTCGACCACCAGGATTATTGGCAAATCACATTGCCTTGCTACGGAGATCCCAGTAACCCATCTTCAGCTTGGTGAGCGTTGGTTTCGGGAGGTTACAGACCAGAGGTCGAGCTGCTTGGTTTCGAAAGCATACCGAGAAAGGATCCCAAGTTAGCAACAGACAACTTAATAAGGAACCTCATACTGGCCCCAGAAAACTGGACCAGCAGACCATGCTCCAGATGAAAGCTCGTTAAACTCATGAAATGAGTATCTATTTCCTGGTAATAATGGAAAAACTGTTGAAAGCTTTCTCTAGCATCAATAATTCCGTTTGTTATCTGAAGCCAGGACAACGCAGCAAAACCCAAACGAATCGATATTATGCCAGTTCCCGAGACATCTCAAAATTATGAAAATGATGCTCTATGGTCGTTTTCGTATCTCTGGTGTATTTAGACAGGACCTTCTCCGGCGTAGTTCTTCTTTCCATAACCATCCCTTTGCATTTCCTTCATCCTCTATCGTTGCAACTACCACCCCTCTATCATCATGAGGATCCTATGCAGAACCAGACCAAAAGACGCAGACCTCCCCAATGATGCCGAAAAGTCAAGACCCCTCCCCGTCCAAGTCTCTCCAGGAGAAGCACGAAACCGCCAGTACTACACCAAGTACACCAACAGGCTCAACTACATAACCCTCACCATGGTCTTGGTAACCGTCATCCTAGACATCATAACAATTGTCCGCTCTTCCAGAAAATGCAATCGACCCGGCCTCCCCGTACGCGCATCTCCACCGCACCCGCGAAGAGCCCTACATCCAGATAACAGACTACGCATCCCCAAACAACAACACGCTCCAAGACGCACTCTGGGACGCTATCAACATCGATGACGGCATCGTCGCGCTCTCAGACATATACGCATCCAAGCACGACCTCCCCACCGCGCAGCTGCGATTTCCCTGGGACTTAACAAAGGGAGTCTACGTCCTGCACGGATTCCACAACCTGTACTGTGTGAAGACCATCCATGCCTCGCTGTCTGAGTTCCGAGCCGGTAAGCCGCAGTCGAGTTCGTGGGGTCATGTCTCGTACTGCCTGGACGCGCTGAGGCGTCAGGTCCTGTGTGATGCAGATGATACGCCGAGGGCGACGGAGAGACGGGATGATACTGGTGGGGAGGACAGACAGAAGAGGAAGTGTAGGGATTGGGATGGGCTGGTGCAGTTTGCGAGGGAGAATACGGCTTGTTATCGACAGCCTGGCGGTGGTGGTAATGGTGGTGATGATGGGAAGTCGGTGTTAGAGAGGTTCAAGCACTGTCCGCAGGGGAGTGGGTATGTGGTTGATGATAGCTATGTGTCGAATGATACTAGTTTTGTTGGCTTGCCCGGAGAGCCCATTGTGCAGGGGGTGGTTTAGGTACCACTGTACTATTGTACAGGTGTGAGTAAATGGTGTTCTGGGGGGGCAGAGTAAGATGATACTTGCTATCTATCGAGTTTAGCCTAGAATATATGTGCATATCGCCAATACCCCTAGTCTGCAATGTATTGATCTAGTTTGGTTTAAAGGAATACAGGCATAGCATCTACTCCCGAATCCAATTATGCATTTCATGATTCATGTCAACCTTGTCACTTCTGGGAAGGCCAGAGACGAGACTGATGACGTCCTTCTCTCCAAAACTGCCGTCAGCAATCGAATTTGTCTTTGGTAATGATATATTCAACATGCAAATGTACATGTGCTCAATGCTTAGCGAGAAACATGGGTATCGAGTGTGTTTATCAAGTCGGCGTGAAAGACGATAGACATCGTCAGTCTAACTTCGATGTATGGCCGCCGTTCTCGCTTCGTTTTACTTTGTGCTTTGCTTCCCATCGCTGCCATCCGGCTTCTGCAAGGTCTTCACTCACGACCAAATCCCGCAGTCGAAAACACCTAGCTACCGAGTGATCCAGCCCCCAATCAATCCAGCCGTAGCTTCGCAAAAATCCAGTAAAGATGAACCAAGCCAGCGCATATACAACTCCAACAGCACCTCCCGCAAGAACTTGGCGAGGAGTGTGATAGGTCAAATATATACGACTAACGGCCACTGCGATAGCACCGAGAGATATTCCAATTGAAGCGATTATGCGGAAGATGATCCCCTTATTCTGATGGTTTGGCGAGTGGCGAAACATAAGGAATAAACCCATATATACAGCGAAGAATGCGACAAACTGTGCGTGGGATGACGGCATTCCGTAGCCTTTTCCAAACATTTCTGTCCGAGCCAATTGTTGTTAGTGTCGTTTCCGGCATAATACCGCCAGCTCTGGCCCACATACCTTTTGGCCGCTCTTCCTTGATAATCCGCTTGAGCGCAAAGTTCAGAGCCTCACAAGCCAGTTGCCCAGCAAACATTAAGCCCACCTCTACCTCCCGCGTCGCCCAGACAAGTGTGACGTAGACCACGCATAGCGCTTGCGGTACAAGAGCCAGCCACGCGGAGAGAAATGAAAGAGGATCCTCGGGATTCTGTCATCGGTACGGACCCTTGATAAGTTTCTCATTCCGCATCTGAACTCGATGTTGATTCATAGCGGAGGAACTCACATAATGGACATGGGTCAGGGACAAGGAAGCGAGTGGCGGCTCTTTCCCCATGATTGTGTTTATAAATAATCTCTCACAAAGATTACCGGGGGTGTTAGGTATGTCTCCAAGCAAATATAAGTAGTATACAGGCGACGTCCGCCTGTTGACCGCCGCGGAGGTTCTTGTTGACAATCAAGGTGATAAGAGTACCCCGTACAGTCTCGGAGGTGGTTTGTCCGGGCCGAAAAACTGTCGCTGCTATAGTCAGTCAGCGTTGACCTTAAAAGCGGCGGGCGGAATGAGGGGGAGGGGAAGTTGCAGCCTCAGGCCAGAATCGATAACGAATCGCTTCACAGACTCGCAAAGAAGAAATTATCTGCAAGACGCGAATAAGATTCGTTCTCTAAAATTAATCAGACGATCATCAAGTGAAATCTAAACACGATGAAGAATCTCAACCCATAGTCCTCGCTGTTCTCGACTGGGCACCAAAGACTGCCTGATGCCCATCAAAATTGCAATTGAATCCCCACAATCACAGCCATCCAACACGTCCATTTCATCGCATCCTTCACCCCAACTCTTGTCTTGTCTTCTCTTCTTCCCTCTATTTTCTGTGCTGTATCTTGACTTCTCGACTCAAGCCCTACGCCAACTCATCCTTGAAACTCCCACGCTTATTTCGGGCCAAAAACAATGACGCACTTTCTCTCTTCACGTCTACAACCAACTTTCTCGTTTCCATCTGCCTCAGCATCCTCAAACCCTTTCCAAGTTGCCAGACGGTCTTCTTTGCTTTCTGACTATCCACCGCGGCCTGTTCGTATCCCTGTCCTGCCCTTGACCGGAACCCCTGCTGCTTCCCTAACTCCGATTCCTGATCGTCTCTCCCATCCAGACTGCCTGACCCACCTGTATACCTACTTTTCTTCACGCTATTCGCCTTTTTTCCGCCACCGCAGGGCTGCTTCTAGAACTATATCACCTCCAGGATATTTTCTTCTTTTTTCTATCTTTTCCCCTGGACGCAACTGCCCGCTTCCCGCTTCACTGCCGAGTTTATGACGATCTATTATCGCTGTGTCCTTGAACCTCTGCACTCGCTTTTATACACCCCAGGAAAAGAAAAAGAAGTAAAAGAGGGATATTTATAAGGGGACCAGTATTCTCGGGGAGCTGCTGGGTAATTTATATCGGAGTCTACTATGTTTGTCTTCATTGCTCATCATTGATCAGCCCACCTCGCCACTCTGCTTCTGGCCCCAAAACCGATCGAGGACCTGCAACTCTCAACCCTCCGTGTCCGTCTTGATGGTTTTAGCTGTCACTATGGAGTCGGAGACTTCTTTCGACGATGAACGATATGAAGAACTCTCATCCATTGCGGCCATTTTCCCAGAAATCAAGACCGACTCGACATCCGCATACCGGGTCTCCCTCGATATACCGGTAAAACCGACGACACCTCTAAATGTCTGTTTCTATCAACACCCGGAAGTCGGCTTTCCTGCGGTTCTCACCCCTCCGACCTCCCTCGATGCTAACGAAGTCGGCCTTGGCTCCAAAGCTAAACTAGGCAACGATCACTCAACCGCGGACAACGAAAGGGACGTACATGTTCTTGCTCATTTGCCGCCTCTCAGTCTTGAGATTGAACTCCCGGAAGGATATCCCTCAACCAAGCCTCCTGTATTTAAACTCAGCACCAACCCGCAATGGCTGCCTTTATGGGCCGTTTCAAAACTCTTGGACGATGGTACACGCCTTTGGGAAGAAAGTGGCCGGTCTCTCGTCATCTACACCTATATAGACCATCTTCAACAATTGGCAGAAACGGCATTTGGCATAGACGAAGCGTCGGGTGGCGAAGTACGGCTTGCGAGGGAGCTCAAGATTGCTTTGCTTGATTTTAATAACAAAGCAGAGCGCGAGAAGTTCGAGCACGAAACTTTCGAATGTGGGATTTGCCTTGAGCCAAAAAAAGGAACGAATTGTCACCGTCTGATGCTTTGCTCACATGTTTTCTGCGTGTCTTGTTTGCAGGACTTTTACAATACCTGCATTTCCGAAGGAGATGTTGAAGGCGTAAAGTGTCTGGCTCCTGACTGTGGTCAAGAACAAAATACGTTACCGGGCCAAACGAAAACGCACAAAAAACGGGATCGAACGCTCAGCCCATCAGAATTACTGCAAATACCCCTTGAACAAGAAACCGTTCAACGCTATGTTTTTTTGAAACGGAAACGGAAGCTTGAAGCTGACAAGACGACTGTTTACTGCCCTCGGAAATGGTGCCAGGGCGCGGCGCGGTCAAAGAAACATCCTAAGCCGACTGATCCCATGGCAGACGACTTGGAGGGTTCGGATGAAGAAACAGAGGGTCTTGTCTTCGACCCCCTCGGGGATGAAAGTCAACTACCTCCTATGGCCGACCGTCTAGCTATTTGTGAGGATTGCAATTACGCCTTTTGCTGCGTGTGTAAGAAAGGTTGGCATGGAGAACTTATGCGGTGCTTCCCTCGACGACAAGCGGAGTTGTCGGCCGAGGAGAGGGCAACCGAGAATTATCTCAGGCTATACACATCTGCCTGCCCAACATGCGATGCTCCGTGCCAGAAGCGTTTGGGTTGCAATCATATGAAGTGCTTCAAGTGCGATACGCACTTCTGTTACCTCTGCTCTGCTTGGCTTTCAGAGACAAATCCATACCACCACTTCAACGACCTTACTAGCGCCTGCTTTAATCGACTATGGGATCTGGAAGGTGGCGACGGTGTCGATCCTGAAGGAGCCGAAGCTCTGCACCGAGTTCCTGATGCTCTACTTTTCGACGACAGCAGCGACGACGAGGATCAACATCCGTGGGGGGTGAACAATGGACCTGCAAGACAGCCTCCACCTCCGGCTCCAGTGCCCCCACGAGTCAACCATGTCGGTATTGGGAATCCCGAAATAGGGCGTAACGCCAACGGTCTCGATGCCGCGGGTCGAGCAGCTGCAGCCGAACGACAAGCTCAAGCTCGAGCGATGGCAGAGATCAGGGCTGGCAGGGGACCTGAGCGAGCTGAACAAGCTGTTGTCCCACGCGCAGGCCTCCAGCGGTTTCTCGACCTCGTCCAAAACGATCGGGAAGACGAGTGGGACAGCGACGAACTAGAAGATGGTTTTTAAACCCTCCGCCGCCACTTGTTCATCTACAACCTCTGTCTATTATATTACGATCCTATTTAAGCGCATGCATCTCACCAACAATTTACGATTTCACGATCAAATCACGACCATAAAACAGTTTTCGGGGCAACCTTCTAACTATGATATCTCTACCCAAGGGCGGATTTGTTTTTGTGTGTTTTTTTTTTTTTTTTTTTTGCGCGTTTTCCTTTTTATCATTTTGCATTTGTATTAGCGGTTGATCATGATCTTGATGACTATCTCCATTGATCTAGCGTTGCTTCTATCGAACTCTTTTTTTTCGTCCTGTACAAGATGTTGCAGTTGCTCTGTATTCGGATAGGTACCTGGTCTTTATGTCTTGCCTGGTTCGTATAATTTTCTAGCATGTACAGCATAGCATCATTATGTTCCTTACGTTTTCAGTGATTTTAAAATTCCGATCTTATAGTAGTTGAGTTGTTTGGGTTAGCTTAATCTATAACCTAATAAAGGTGATGAGCTGCTCTTGGCTTGATTCAACATTGATCTATCTCAACGATACCTAGCATATCGGCCAAGAACGTGACCTTTTTTTAAGGCACCACGGAATATATTCATACATCAAAATAAACACGAGCTAATCCATCTTGCAATGCTGCCATCAAGTAGCAAACTGTATATAAACAACTTTATAAACGGAGGCGAAACCACAGATATCCACCCCATTACCTTCTAACTCCCAGAGCAAAGAGGGGGAAAAAGAAAAAAAAGTCAAAGAATAAGGTACTCATCCTCTCCACCAGCCCCATTAGCACCATCGCCAATAGTGCTCCCGCCAGAAGACGAGGCATTCCAGGTATACCAGAATTCATAACTCATCATTGTATGGTCTGCGTACATGAGCAGGAGTCTATATCGACGAGACGGATTCCAGCCTCGCCAACTTTCCTCAGGTTGGTAGGCACTAGTTGCGCGTGCGTGGCACTCTGGAACGGTTAGACGGTTGGCCTGGGGGTGAGGCGTTCGGTCATTGTTTTCCATCTTGCTGTGAGTGGTATCGTTACTACCATCAACGTCAATGTCCCCTGAGATACTGGTTGGTGTGGGCGAGGAAATATTATCTGTAGCGTCTTTATACTGGAATAGGAGATTGCCGATATCGTTACCGCTACCGTCGGCCTCTGGGTTCCGCGGGATATATGGCACATCGGGGGGTATTTCGAATCCCTGCATGGGGCTGACACTCATTCCTAGGAGGCGGACGAGAGGGCGTTCGCCGTATTTCTCTTGGCTTTCGAAAGGGACAATCCAGTCTACTCGGAAGGACCGGCCGGTAGCTCTGGACTCGGTGAGCGAGATGATGGCTGCGCGTCCCTTTTGGGAGGCGGCAACAACGATGCCATGTTCCGGGATGTATTTAATCATGTTGAAGCGGTCGAGCCCGCGGATTGAAATTATAGGATGGGTGAGGCGCTGAGAGAGTGGGCCGCTGCAGAGAACGCTAGCTGCCATGGCAAATGGATGGGGAATAAGATGGATGTCTGTGTGGGAAAAGTGGAGGATAGGGAAGTCTGCGTTGGCCGGAGCTAGATGTGGAAAGATGGATTAGCTTTTGGGTTTATATACCGGCCACGGCTGGTGGGCTAAGGAAAAGGTAGTTAACGTACGATCAAGGGTTTGGTAAGCATATCCATCTTCTTCGGATGCGTCCTCGCTGTGGGAAGTATTGTCATCATCTGCATCAACCATTCCTTGATTCTCAAGGTAGTCCATATCATCATTCTCATCCTCATCCGAGCCATGGGCCAGATTCTCGCCAAGTAGAGCTTCCACTTCATGGACATCGCCACCTAAAGCTTCAAGAAGGGCGAATTGAAGGAATTCGGGCGTAGTCAACGGCCCATGTCCAGGAGCACGAAGCTGGCCAGTAGAACCAAAGCCATTAGGGTCGACGAGAGCCTGCAGGAGCTCGTGATGATCTGTGGCCTGCTGGTTGTCTGCTGGATCTTGGTCTGTGTTGGGAGTATTATCCTCCCTCGTGCTGTCTGCGTAAAAAGAGCCATCTACAGCCTGCTGACTTAGTTGATCTGGAGATTCACCAGAGCGAAAATCCCCTGTAAATTCATTTCTCTGCGTATCATGCTTTTCTTGCATGTCAATGCTCCCAGAAATACGGCAATCTGCTCCAAAGAAATCGGGCAGCAGCATTTCCTCAGGCTCGGCTTTAACAGCAGGCGGAAAGTGGTTATAGAGGCGTGATGTATCTGGAAGTCTGTTGGTAAGACTCGTCAAATCAAGGATATTTTGCTCGTCCCTCAGGCGCCGCTGTGGTTTACCACCACACGCCTGTTCCTCAGAATCCACTAGATGGAATGTGCGCGGGTCGAGGGCTATTACTGACCACCCGCGATCGTTGCTACGTTCATCAGTATGGAGGATTGGACAAAAATCAAAGGCCAAAACTCACCCCCAATGGTAGTCCATGGAAGTACTCAGAGCCGCTCTATTAAGTTGCATTTTGTTGAAGGGCCCAAGACTTTCCCAAATTTTCCAAACCACCACCCTATTCTCAATATCAGTACTCACCATCCATACTCCATTAGGGTCGAAGTCTGAATTGAGAAACCCGACAGCTGGTATATTAGTGAAATGGCCAGTGTACGTCAGCTTGATATTTCGGGTGCGATGCTTCTCCGGCATCAAATGTCGTATTTGCGTGAGCTGATCTTGGGTCCGGATATGTAGCCAGGTTTGACTATATTCAGTGAACTCATTGTCCTCCTCTAACTCATTAAATGAACCATCGCCATTTTCTGCTGTTGAATCAACGAGGGCAAAGGCAAAAACGGTCACAAGTCCCGTATTCGCGGACACCGCAATCAAGCGAGCGAACTTGTGGATGGCTAAACCCCAGGCACTTTCGCCAACAAACTCGATGAAGAAAGGGTCCACTTCTGCTCCGTCCAAAGGCTTGACCTTCCCATTATCTACGCCTCTTTTCAGAGCTGAGAAGATAGCCTCAACACGGTAACCACAAATGTTACCCGAATCGGTGACTAATAACAAAACCTCTTCGCGGCCCAGGTCGTCCACGAGGATACTGTTAATCTCATGAGGGGATGTTGGCTCAATATAGCCCTCGGCATAAGGTTCTTTCATGACAGGCGTTATGATCATCTCAGGCTTAATGCCCAATCTCTGTGAAGCCCCGGAGGGCTCCCACACATAGATTTGGTTGCTGCATGCAACAAACAATAGATTGCGCCGCTGAGAGAGTGCGGTCTAATAAGTTTGTTAGAACAGTACAAAGCAGTCAAGCGTTGAATTAATTTGTATTTACCAGATTGCAGCGCCAGTGAGAGATCCGAGGAGGAGAAATATCTTCGGCTCTGTTGCCTCAATCAGTTTTTTGGTGTTGGTCAAAGTTGTAGCAGAAAACGTACGAAGGATACTGCGCATAATGTCAGCAAATTGGTGGGTACAATGTTATCTAGAAGGTCCATAGTGGTCACATACCCGTTCATCTCCTTTTTCAACGTTCAGTGGTCTCAGCTGAAGGCCTTCACTGTAACGGTTTTTCTGGCCATTTGCTTCGCGGGCGTGGTTGTTGAACGCCATCTTCAACAGTTACAGCCCTCCGGGTGGTAAAACTGGCCACCGAAAATCAATAACGAAGCAGACTGTTGCAGAATTAAAAAGAGTTCATGGAGAGAACCGAGAAAAATGTGTTCGACAATGATCGGAAGGAGCCAGTATATGTATCAGATCCGGAACTGCGTCGCACGGACTGGGAAGACTGTCACTCTGTAATTCACCTGCGATGCACATCTTTAGACACCCCTCATTAAATACAAAGGAAGACGGGCGGTGCCTTCAAGTTCGTCGGAATATAGGGCTGATCGGAGTGGTGGCATGAGGGGAACAGTGAAGTCATCCAAATATGAGGTAATCAGGGCCTCAGGCACCAATGCGCACGTGCCACATCCAGGTGCCTCCAACCCCAAGCTGGAGCTCAGTTGCAATTTGCAAACGCCAACTTCACTGGAAAGCCACCTGAAAGGTACATTTACGGCCATAATGGATCTTGTCGCCGGTGTTCGCAAGGAAGGCAGCCGGTATGTCATGTTTCTCATTCTATTGTACCGTCCGCAATGTATTGACTAACTGTTGGCTACAGCGGCGGCCGCGGCGACTTCAAATGGTCCGATGTGAAAGACTCTTCGCATCGCGAAAACTACCTCGGTCATTCTCTTATGGCGCCTGTTGGTCGATGGCAACAGGGTAAAGATTTACAATGGTATGCACGTGGGGAAGATGATACCGAGGATGTCGCTAGGAAGGAGCGCGAGGAGCGGCAGCGCGTCAAAGCAGCGGAGGATGAGGCCATGGCGCGAGCTTTGGGTCTTCCGCTGCCATCTCAGAACGCGAACCTGACGCCCCTGGGTGGTGATGAGAACCCACCTGCGGCAATTAACGGAGACCCAACGGAGGAGAAGACAAGAGGTATGGGATATAGTCACCTTGTCAGTATGCAATAGCTAACAGAGACTAGACCGGGATTCGAAAAGTAGCCGAAGGCGAAGGCGCGAACGCACACGGAGTCCTAGGAGGGATCGTGACCGGGAGCGTGGTAGTGACAGAGACCGGGAACGCAGGCACCACCGACGACATGATGAACGCGATCATCGAAGCCACCGCAGCCATAGGCGTAGGTCGAGATCGAGGTCGGCCGATCGGGACAGGGAGCGTCATAGAAGAAGATCACACTCACGGTCGAGGAGCAGAGAAAGAAGCGACAGAGACAGGCACGGAAGACGCCGCGATGATCGACCGAATAGACCACGGGCCGAGGGTTCCCACCACTCACGACATTAAATTTGTTATAAAAGGTAGCCTATGGAGCCAGGCGTTATTTGGATTACATATACTGGAAGACTTTAATGGTCTATATCTATGCTACATTTCTAGCTGGGATTGGATATTTGCAGCTTATAGCTCGTCGTGACCTGTTCTCTCGCTGGCGGGAACTTCAGGCATGGACATCATCTTGACCACCAAACTGGTCCAGCCCGTGAAATGCTGCGTCCTCTGCCCTTTGCCTGTCTCTGGGTTATACTGCTCCCAGGCAAATCCGGTTTCCTTCCACTCCCGGAATACATTCTCAACCAAATTCTTCCGTAGGTTGGTATATGCCGCAGCGGCCCGGCTCTGCTGAGGGCCAGGTGCAAGTGCAATATCCTGCATCAGCACAGTTAGTCTCCCCCAAATCATGAAAGCGGCTCTTAAACTTACATAAAGGTTCTTGAGAATAAGGTAGTTGATGTTCATCCACACCGGGCTTCTCCAGTAGTTCTCGGCAGTGTTGTAGAACTCATCCTGTTTACTGAGACTCCGGATACCGTAATCACTCCAAAGTTCCTCTGGGTCTTCAATCAAATCCAGAACAGCCTTCAAGCGAGGGCTATCCGGGCCCACCATACCTGTCAAGAATGGCGCGATAGAGACATAGCCCTTATGACAGACGTGAACCGACTCTTCGTACTCATCAATGGTAGCATCACAGAAAGTCTGTGCATCTGCATCCCAGTGGAGATCATCAATGTTTCGTTCAATTGCAGTTTCGTAGGTCTTGAACTCCTCCGCATCCTCGGTCTCGCCAAGGGTATCGGCAATGCGGCGTAGCGCCCGGGTCATCATGCCCATCCAGCTAATGAGATCAACATGAAGCTCACCAGGGTGAGGCGGTTGAGCGCGAGGGTAGTCATCAATTCCGGAAGTCAGGATGTGCTGAACAGACCGCCCACGCCAGCGGTATGCCTCCTTGCTCGAAAATGCCTCACGGTCGTACGATTTGATGTCACCATTTTGGGTAGATCTGTACCAAAAATAATGTTTCTTGAGCAATGGATAAATGGATCGAATAAAATCTTCTCCCAGCTCGGGTTTCTTTACGTAGACGGAATGCAGACCCTCATGGTCTTCACGGTAAGTCTGAGCCGACTCTTCTTTAGCATCAAGCTTATCGATGAACGCTTCCAGGACCATGAACAGCGTCGGGGGGTTGGCGTAATGGGGATATTGAACCGTGAACTCGGGTGGGACCTTGCTACGAGCCTCGCTACCCAGGATCTGTTCGCGGGCAATCCAGCCATCTTCATCCATCAAGCTGAACCAACTTTTCACGATCTCGAGTCTGGCGAGAAGTTAGTCGAATGCTATACAAAGAGACCATGAAGTGTAACGCAAGATGCGCGCTACTTACGCAAGATCTGGGTCCCAGTCCAAGACTGGTACAAGGTGGAAACCCTCATCCCATAGGAAGCCACGGGGGAAGAACGGCCGGGATGGAACAGACGTAAAGAGATCCTTTGGTCCCTCCAGCACAGGCTGTGCTCGGGCTCTCGCTTCTTCTGCTTCCTCCCAGAAACCTTCGTTTTCCTCGTCATATTCGGGAGCGGCTGAACGGTCAACGACATCGGTGCCATGGAAGAAACCAATGCCACCAACGAGGTTTGAGAGCATGGACTTGGAAAACTCAATGTACTCTGCTGTGTTGAAAGGGGACTGGGGGGAGAGTATCTTCTTGAATCTCTCGGAAAAGGAGAGCGAAGCGCCCCTGATTTCACTAGTCAAGATCTCAGCTACAGAAAGTTAGTATCATCCTTGCTGTTTATAATATCCCTATAGGCGACTCACAAGTCAGAGGCTTGGGCGAGGAGCCTGATGAGAAAAGCACATCAAACTAGTAATCGTAAGTTCGAGTTCACAGAAACAGTAGCGCACATACCTCAAAAGCGCCACTGAAGACCTTTTGGACAAATTGCATATTGCCATCTCCCGGCGAGTTCCTGATGGTGAACACTTGCGCAGGTGGTGGAGGGCTCTCTGTACCATATTTGCCAATGGTCTCGTCGACTGCCTCCTTCATTTGCGCGAATAGCAGTGCTATATAAAATCAGTACCGAAGTCGAAGATAAATGGAAGGTCGGGGAAACTGACCCTTTGTCTGCCAGGTATGCTCAAGAGGTACTGTCGAACTCGATACCAGGGTACGATCCAATGGCTTATCGTCGTATGAAGCATGGACATGTTCGGGATGTTCATTACTCTTCGGACCTGTAGTCACATCTATCGAGAAGTCCCCCAGGTCTGACGTGTACCCTTTCACTTTGACGTCGCCCTGGAATCCCCTAGGGTCGTCGCTTTCTGTCGAAACATCTAAGCTGCCGAGTCCCTCCAATCCGGCGTAGAAGACGATCGTTGTTGGCTGATCGGGCAACGCATCCTCGCGAGGTACACCCTTCACGCGTGCAGCCCAGCTGCCTCCATGTTGTCCGCCAGGGACTTTGATGAAATCGATGGTCAAGTCGAGCGAGTTTCCGGCGTCATGGATTGTTTCGCGGCCGCCTTTCCGAACGTCGTACTCGTCCCAGCCGTAACCGGCCATTCCTTCATTTTGTTCGCAAGTATGTCTAAAGTCTTCGGGTAGTCAGATTATGTGCGCTTGGGGGCTAATTGAAGTTAATCGTTGTTGACGGGAGCAGCATACTGTCTTGAGCGGTTGCGTAGTTGTCCACCTTTGCCCACATTAAGCCCGCAAAAAGACTATTGGGGACCCGAGGACGAACCCCAAAGTACAGGTTTGGTTTATAAGGGCCCCATAGAAGTGATTGATTGCTCGCTTTGGCAGCCTCGGTCGCTAACGTTGACACATCGTCAGTAGCCTGGCTGGCGAGCACGGCAACCGCACAGAACAGCGGTGTCGAGAGGAGGGAGGTAATTGAGAGATGCATTATTATGCAGACATTAAGAGAAATCCAAAATCCTCATGTGTCGAGGAAGAGCCTGTGAGTGCCGAATGGATAAACAGCTCTAGTTCTCGTTCGGAGGTTGTTGCGGAGGACGCTCTTATCTGGCATCAGGGAGCGCTCAATCAACGCTTGGCTCCGCACTTGGCCCAAGCTCCATTAAGGTACAAAGTATGTGCTAGGTAGTAGTATTGCAAACTGCAAAATTTTTGTCATTCACTTAATTAACTTTCGATAGCATTTTATTTTATAAATCTTCTATGGAATGCTTGCTATATATCTTACAGGAAATTCCTGGGGTCTAAAGAGCCGACATTGGCACTTTTGGCGCGGCCATCAAACACAAACTCACTGATTACCTTCCCCGTACCAGGCGCATTCTGGATACCCCAGCAAGTGTGACCAGCAGCAATATAGAGCCCCTTTGTCCCAGCATGGCCGACAAGTGGACCACCACGGATGGCACTTACGTTTGGCAGGTAGCAAGCCTGGCGTGCCGTAACCTTGCCATCACGGAGCGCATCCGAAACGGCTCCAACCTGGTTGATGATATCATCACATCGCCTTGGATCTACTTCAACATCCGCAGTTGTGCTTGGTAGTGGGACCACTTGATCCCCTTCTCCGCAGGCGTATACAGTATCGTCAGGGCGGGCATAGATCTCGGGCGATGCCACGGTTGGCCGCGACGGGTTGGACGGATCAAAATTTGCGGGGATTTCGATGTTGGTGAATAGTGTGTGTGCACTGGTGGGCCTTGTTGGTCGTATCACAACACTATGTGCGCGCATGGCCGAAATGGGAACTTCAGGTAAGATAGAGCTTGTCCATGGGCCTGCGGCCACAACAACATCGGTAGCGGGGATTGTTTGCGTCTGACCCGTCTCCTTATCGGCATAAGTAACAGATTTGACCGCATCACCGCTGTAGTCAATATCGGAAACAGATCCTAAAATCACCTTGGCCCCCTTCTCCTCTGCAAGTTTGGCAATCGACGTTGTAAAGAGGTAAGGGTGGACCTGCGCAGTTTCGCCAGGATCGCTCATGCTTTCATATCCTCGAACCAGTTCTGGCTCAATCCAATCCAGCTCCTGTGGCGCCTTGGAGGGCTTCAGCTTTCCCATGGCGGCGGCGCTACGTTTCTGAAGCGACACGGAGCTGTCATTATCCCCATCTTTCTTCTCATTGAGTGGGCGACCCCTTGCGATTAGTTGGCCACAACCAACTTCTCTATAGCCCCATCTATCTTTTCCATTGTGTTCCTTGGCAAGTTCCGCGTGGAGCTTGTAGCTCAGTGGTACAATATTGCCGGGGTATGCCCACAGTGCTAGGAGACCTCCCGCTTTTCCTGACGCTCCGCCTGCAATGTCCGATGCTTCGATGAGAGTCACAGTGTGCCGGGATGGGTCAAAAGAAGGGTGTCGCGTTAGGTAATACGCAGAGCAGCATCCAATAATGCCACCACCTGAGAAATATTTGTTAATACGATCACCATTGATTATGTGGGGTAGAGCAGGTAACATGAGGGTCTAAGTTCATACCTACAATGACAATGTCGCGACGGTCGGCTGATGCAGACATCTTTGCGTACTGTGCTATGTGCGAGCTAAGAACACGAAGGGAAGCCACGATGATGAACGGTTGAAAAGTTGAGGTTTGATCATTTGTAGATGGCGGAATTGAAACGGGACCGCATACGTCATTCGAGTCATGTGCATTCTCTCCAATTGCAACATCTCCGAAGAAAAGTGGGCGGGCGCACTGTAGAGCTCAAGAGTCTAACCAATGTTTGAGGATAAAGGAGGGGAAAAAATGCGGCTCGAAGTTAATGATTTAATTAACACAGATGTGATGCATGGCATCGAGGTTAGGAGGTATTCGAGGTCTTGGAGAGATAAGAAGTACACGGGTAGGCAGCATCGACACAAAAGAAAAATATAAAAAATGAAAAGAGATAGAAAAGAAGCCCTAACACCAATAAATGCATGTAATATCGCGTCAATATCGAAACAGACAGCCCCAGTAAATGAAAACCCCATGGAACATGATGGGGAGGTAATAGTAAACAGTAGAATCAACGGTTGTCGCCTTTCACCGGGAGGGACTAAGAGGTCTATTAAATCCACCTTGGCGGTTCATGTACTGTCGGTATTCTGTCTTCTTCTCCTTGCGCACGCCATAGGCATTGTTTCCGGGCACCTTTGTGTTCTTTGTGCTTCTGAATTTGGAGAACCCCATGCTTCGTCGGATGAGTTCTTCGATGTCATCCTCCCCATCGTCCAAATCCATATTCACATCTTCCTTTCCTCGATCCGTTCGGGGTTTACCGTCTGACGTGCCATTCGCTCGATCACGGTAGTCCCTTCGCTCATTTCTTCGGTCCCCGCGTGAGCCCCGGCCTATTGGCGTCCTGTCCCGAGTGCCGTTTCGAATAGGTGATCGAGAACGGTCGCGGTATCTGTCACCCTTAGAAGGATAGCCTTCCCACAGTAGTCAGAATCGTATTTTTCTGGAACAAACACTCTTGAGTACGCACCTCGTCTGTCCGTGTACCGGTCACGGCTAACACTTCTGTCACGAACCCGTGGTTCCCGCCCGTCGCTGGCTCTATCTCTTCTGTCACGGTCGCGGTCGCGGCGATCCCAAGACCTGCTTCTCTCTCTTCGTTTGTCCCGTCTATCTCTGGATCGAGAGCGATATCTCTTGTCTTCACGGGGCCCACCGCGTCGCCCGTCGTCAGACGGCGGGTCGCGTCGAGAATTCCTATCAAAGTCTGAGTCCACCCCAGGAGAGCGTGCCCCCCGATCTTCCATATCCCACATTGCTGAACTATCGATGCGGCGAGGTCGTTTCGTGGGTGGCTCTGCCATTATGGGGTGCTGGAAATTTGGGGGTGACAAATTTGGCGTCGGAGAATTTCGTCCGCAAGGCGGAGTTGGCGATAATGGCTTTGCAATTCCGCCGGTTAATAGAGCCAAGTCTGTTATAAGCCTCAAAAACGGTATTAAGTCAAGGAAAGGACAGCGCTAGTAATGATTGTGATTGTTGCTCAGTTGCTCGGGGAAGATTGAAGCTTCGTGCAAGATATTACGGTGGGCGATTTGCACCAATCGTGCCACTTATTTCACCCCAGCGGCAGCCGCAGCCCAATTTGCCCCTTCATTTATGCCTTGTGCTCTTTGCTCCCCACATACCCTATTATACATCCTACATTATTTTTCATCTTTGTCTTTTAGCCAATAACCATGCAGTACATTATGCAAGCTGTTCACGGTATTTTTAGGTTGCCGCTATTCCTACGGCTCAGGATTTTGCTCCTCGTGACATCGATGCGCAAAACAAACTTAGGGTACTTGGCCGCTGAACAAAGAAGCGTGTGCCCACTGGTTATTAGGTTCTTAATACACAAAGAACTACCACTTTAGGCAATGCAAAATATGTCCACAGGGCTCGGTTTATTTAAACAGTTGCAGATATAATGCGTACTAGTCCCCAGGTCTCTCTTCATTTTCCTCAACACCTTTCTGCTCTGCTAGTTTTCCCACAATAACAATAACAACCGTCAACATGAGTACCCCACCTGGCCAGAGTGAGGCCAGTGGCTCCGAATTTAGTGGCTTGAGTGACAGCACTACGCTTTTTCTTTGTCGATTCACGCCTTATCTACCCTTTCAGGGATATACATTGCATGATCTAATCAGCGCACTGCAGAAGATAGAATCCGCCCACGAACAGGGCATTAGCTGCACGTTGGATGCTAATGAAACTCATGCCGTGGAAGATTGCCTCCTTTTAGTACGACCGGACTTGGATCCTGAGCCTTGACTACGCCAAAGGTCCCAGAGCAGTGAATGAAAGAGAAAAAAACGTCAAAGGGAGGATAGATACCACTCCTCAACGCTGGGAATTTTACTTTGAGGAACCTACTATATTTGGTACAACATTTTTGGATGCCACCGCCACTATGAAGATATGTATTCTTATTGCTTTCTTGCCAGCACAGAGACAAGGGAATAACTAAGCGTCCGTCTACATTACCTCTTCTCCTCGTTGGCAACATCCATATAAGCAACCATTCTAGGGAACTCCAAGAAGTGACAGGTATCTCAGAAGCACAGTCCGACTCGCTTTTGGTCATATGTGTCATTGTTTGGATCGAAATATCGAATCGGAGGGCTCTTGCTGTTGTGACCACATGCATCCAAACTTGAATACGTGCGCCCCACTGTACGCTAGAGTATTTTGTAACATAGTTACCATTAGCCCATAACCTACTATATTGAGGCTAGTCGCACAGATATATCCCTATAAGCCTGTATGATGTAGTGTAACTTTTCGTTCCCCTATGCCTCTGCTTAACGCGACCAACACAAGTTGATTGTAAGTGAGATAGCCATAATAGATACGCATTTAAGGGCAGCTCAGGCTATAATTGCGCCATTCTTCCAAGCATTTCAGTGAGTTGCCGGTCTCTTTATTCCTCGATAAGCTTTTCTAACGTCATCTGATCTTACTGGGTGGAGGGCTCACTGTTTGGTGCTGACCAGACTGTCAAAACTCACGATGTGATAGATCATCTACAATAGAGGAACTTAAATATCCAATGGATCTATAGATATCTCTGATAGCATTTTATTCTTCTAAATCCCGTTACTATCTAATTAAATGTATATTATCGAGTTGCCCTGCGCAAGATCCAATTGAGGAAGGAGTACACGGCCCGTGCCGCTGAGCCTCCGTCTAGTCTATATACGGTAAAGATCACCAGTGAAATCTTTTGCGCCGAAGAACCCCTCATGCCGACCTCAATGAGAACCCCGCAATCACCGTTGAGGTTTGACAAAACCTTTCACCCTGAAGGATATTTTCCTTGCCTGACCTAAAAATGGCCCCGTCCAACCTGTCTCATCGTCAGACTCATAACTTGCTTTTGATTTCAAAACTGTTAAGTCTCAGAGATACCGCGTCACCACTCACACTTTTACTGGATTCACTGGAGCAACCAGCCACACCCTTGATCAAAGAATATATTCGACGCGCGCGAGTAAGGGATCCTTATACTACCAGATAATGGTACTTCAGATAAACGTGAGAGAAGATTCCGCTAATTAAGCCCAGCTCTCGAAAGTCCATGTCACTCTCATTGCCTTTGAATCCTTAAAACCGTTCGATGGTGTCGATGCATTCGTATCCGCCCGACGAAAAACACCGGCAGAGATAATTAGGGAAGCTAGTGCTGCTTATAAGCCTGACTCAGCCAATGCCCCCAATCGCAGTATGCATCTCGCATTTGTCTTTTACCGCGAGCCTGCCGGTGCTGATTGACAAGTAGGGAGATTGATTCTTATCGATTCCATCAATCCGCTGCTCCATTCAACAAGGTTGGATAGGACGCTTCACCTATCGACATTCCTCAGTACATTCATAGTTCCCGCCGGTCCGTCAGCGTCGAAGCCCGATACGTCCCTTGTCGTTACATTCCATCAAGATGTCCCCGGTCGTCCAAACCAATCACCCTACACGCCATCTCCCTTATCCATATTAACCTATCTTGCAACGACCGTGATAAAACTTCATTCCTTTTCGCATATCCTCGCTCAAAAAGCGGCCCGCGACCGCAGTTTAGTACCGCCGGTGTTCGGGCTGGAAGAAGAACAAGATGGAGTCTTGCTTGGAAGACTAGATAAGCCGATCGGAAAGGATACCGCTGAGGGAGTTGTCTTGGAAATGGAGTACCGGCGTAAGAGTGGACGTGGAGTCCTAGAGTGGTACTTGTTGCCTCCTGCATCAAGGTATCCGTCTTCCCAGGTTAAAGAGATTGTGACGCTGCTTGATGACCATCCGTTGTATCGTCCACCTGAGGATATTAACGCTGGAGAAGGGGAGGAGGAGCCTGAGTCAACATTTGAGTTACGGCTTACGGAGAGACAAAGAAGAGAGCGAGAGGGTGTTGTGCTGCCATATTTTGATGCCCAGCAGGGTAATGGTCCTGGCGAAGGTGGACGCATCTTGTATGATATGGGCGAGGAAGATGATTTCGATGAAGAAGAGGATGAGATCTGATCTAGACTATTCGTTCCCATGTCATCTCGCGGACCCCGATGCAAGTATACTACGGTATCACAGGTGCAACTACAAACATTCGGGATGATCGCCTCTTCCATCTTGATCAAAAGTCTAAGCCCACCAGTTCTCTTACTCACATATATGCCAACCGTGAAGGTACTGGTGGAGTCCTGCAACCACCGAATACATTATCTACGCATAAAAATTACAGACAGATAGTTATGTGACATGACTGGCTTGTGAGACTAGAAGAAGCGCCACCAAATAAGGAAAAGAAATATGATGCCAACACCTGCGAATGGACCATACTGCATGGAGTCAGAGTAGCCTTTCTAATACTGAACATGGCAAACTCACCTGTTTTACCAGCAGCTCCCAGTTGATGCGCACTGCCGCCTTCCTGTACTTTTTGCTATCTTCGCGCAGGCGGCCTGATAGTTCACCCATACGCTCCAAGCTATCTCCACGGTATAGCAAATCCTCGATATTCTTTGTCATCACTTTCGTTACATCTCGAAGCTCGTCGTTTAACCGGTCGAGGTTGGCCGAAGCGCGGCTATCCTGGTACACCTTCTTGCTGCGCTGGATGAACGTATCGAACTCGACAAATGCATATGGTCGTAGGCTCGGAGACTTGTATTGTGAAGCGGGGTACGTGTTCGTAAATTCGGTTGCGATATCAGAGAGATAAGTGAAGGCAAGTTTGCGGGGGTATGAGCGATCACATATGCAAAGAAAGCACACGTCATCTTGGATCAGATAACTATTGCTTGGGTTAGCCTGACTTCTCTTGTTTATCCGGTAATAGGGTGAACATACTGTAGATTATATTGGCCTGATTCAATGCTCGCCTGGGGGGCCGAATTGGGACTCATTCGGCGGAAGATCATCTTAGCTTGCGATTTGATTTCAGAAAGCTCCGTTTCAGCCTATGAATTGCGCACGTTAGTTGTGAGAGCAATAGAAACACAATGAATATGCACCTGACTTACCTGCTCATCGTCCACTGACGCTGCCAGCATCAGGCCTGCTATACATTAACATCTCTATCCACTTCCACTAACACTACATCCTCCATGGTTGCGCCTTACCGTCAAGCCTAGCAATCTGGGTTGATTTGACCATTCTGCCAGTAGCTCTCCGTGACTCTCTGTTTTATTTTCCCCAAGTAACGAAGCTGTTGGTCGTTAGACGCCACTGGTGATCTGCTGCTTTGTTGTCCTCATCTACCTGAGCGCTGGCTGCGGAACAATGGCCCGCGGACGTAAGGCGGTCGAGGGCGGCAGTATGAGGAAACAACCATCCAGGTCTGTGTCCATTATCTACACTTCCCCTGCTTCTTAGCCAACTCGGCTTGGCGGTTTATAGGATATCATTCTTTCGTTTTTGATTGTTGTTGACAAATATGTCTCAGGTCTTGCCGCCTACCCATCTCCGCTGATACAGCTACACCGAGTAATGTAGCCAAGGCGAGCCCTCCAATGGACTCGACGAAACCCAAGCCGAAGCGCACTCCGCGGAGGGCTGCAAAGGATCGATTTGAAGAGGAGAAGCTGATGACTAGTGACAAGTCTCAGCTCATTGACATAGACCTTGTAGTAAGCTGCAATTCTGCTGTGCACAGGAACGATTTAAGAACAGAATGCTAATGCCTGTTATTCCACAATATAGAAATTGCTCGCGCTTCCTGAAGCCTGGACCTGTCTCGACGAAGATGAGAAGAAAGAAATTTTGAGTCTACTTCCTAGTGACACGCATCCGAATCCAACCCCCCCGCCAGATGACCCCGACGCAAAGATCCCCCCTCTACCAAATGACTTTTTGCGCTACTCCAACAATTGGCGTGATGGCATCCGCCACTTTCAGTTAGACCTTCAAAGTGGACGCTATGATCCTCAATGGATCCAAGAGGCTGAACAGGCCGTCCGGGATCGGGCTGCAGGCAAGTTCGACAAATTTAAAGAACAGGAGTTTGAGGAGTTCTGGGGCCAAAAGCAGAAAATGGATAGATACATAGCTGCTGGGGAGAGCTCCCGGGTCAAAATAGGTACGCTCATTGAGCATGGGGTTATTCGGAAGGGTGACATTTGGAAATGGTCACGCAGCTTCGGCCGCCGCCCAAAGGTTCTGGTCGAGAAGGAGGCCAAGGTACGTTGAGTCACATATGATACTTGAGGCCATAAACATCTAATTCTATTTTCTTAGATTATTGACATCAATGGCACCCTGTTGACGTTCGTTGTTCCTGCGGGTCAGCGTGTGTTTCTAAAAAGCACAGAAACAGGCCCGTCAGCCCCAGTGTCGTCATCATTCGATGGTGCTGCCACGATGGGCACAGAGGCTGGACCTTCTAGGAAGCGCAGTGCTGAGCCTGCAGACGACGTCGCCGCCACAAAACGACAGCGGGGACGCCCGGGCAAACAGGAGACTACTACCGTCGAGGAGAAAGCCTGTAACATTTCAGTGGAAATCATTAATGCTGTCCCCAAACCCGAAATCACCTCGTCCTTGTCTGATGTGAATGACAACCCCGGATCATCAGCAGAAGTTCAGAACGGCGAGTCTCAATCTGTTCAACAAGCGCCGGAGGACATAGAACCTGTTGATGTTGAACCACCACAATATGCACCTGAAACAAAAGGGGAAATGCCTGTGGACGTGGAACCCTCACAGTCAACCTCCGAATCGAATGGGGAGTACGACGAGGTGGTCATTCCCGACGTACAAGGTCCTAGTGCACTTACACACAAAATACTGGAAATTGACGGTCGTGTTACGAATGCCACCAATGGGAATGCGTGGAAAGAACTCCGCTGTTACAGAGATAACCAAGACATGGGCACTTTGTGGGAAGTCAGGCAGGCTTGGTTTGCGAAAAAGAAGTAGCCTGCCTTTCGTGTGAAGAGGCAACGTTGTTCCAGTTTCTTTTCTAGGCGACAATGATATCGACACTTAATACCCTTCTAGCTAGAGAATTATAACTCGATTTCCGTCCGGGACGGATTTTTCGCTACCATCATAGCTAAAATCATGAAAAATGCATACTTTAAGATCTTTTTATCAGGTCCATTGATTAGTCTTCGAATTACACTCCGAAGGTGTTAGTGTTAGATCCCGGATATGAAAAATATCAGAATGCATCATTAGATTGCCCAAACACCATATTATCCTCTCTAGCTGCTCGACTTTGTTCAGTATCAGCGGCATAATCGACCGCAAAGCTACATTGGATGAAATCCTCTAGTTCCTCACTGACGGTCTTCAACTTCTCTTTAACACTTGCAACGCCCTCCTGACCAACGATATGTCGCGATGGGGGGTTTTCATGTCCCCCAATCGCGATGATGGCGTAAACCGTCTCGGAAACTAATACTTCCATGTGCGCTGAGCTGAGTGGGGGATATGTAGATGTGAGGTCCGGGCCTGAGAAAGGGCCCTCTTCAATGGAGCTGGTCTGATCCGGATTATGTGAGCCGTTGGCGTCCTGTGTGTTCGGTAAACGGGGGACGAGTCGGTTGAGTATTCCACGGAATAGTGGCGCGGGGTTTATTCCAGGCGAGTAGGCAGGGACGATCGGGGGTACGGTGGTGACCAAGTTCGTAAGAATGGGGATTTCGATACTGCATTGCAGGATTGTGAGTTTGACGTTGTATGGAGCGATTTCGTACGCGAGACTCTGGGGAGAGCAATAACGGTTAGTAAAGGTAAGCAGAGAAAAGGATTTGACTACGGTTCTTACATCGCAGAATCCCTCGAGAGCCCAACCTGCAGCGCAGTACATCCCAAGGCCGGGTGTGCCGATATGAGCGGCTGTTTATAGTCAGAATGTCCATTCTGATTATTTAAATCGGAGGTGATGTGTCCTTACTGATTCCAGAGACGATCATAACATGGCCCGACTTCTGCCGTCTCATGTGAAGCAGTGATGCCTTGATGATATTGAGCGGACCGAAATAATTGATCTCGAATTGGTCGCGGACGAGGTTTAAGGTCTGTTGAGAGGCCGCAAGCTCCTCAACGGTTCCAATGAGTGCTTATAAACGGTCAAAAAACGGCATGCTAGAGAGAATAAGGGCTTGCGACAAAGAATACATACCTTGACTGGTGCAACAGAGCAAAATGTCCATCCTACCGAAGGTCGCAACTGCTTCGGCAACCACTGCTTGACACTCCCCAACTATCCTGTACAGGAAGTATCAGCCTAGTTCACCCAAAAGGTGATAGTCGCCATGTAGTATTCTATGCGCACCTTATATCCAATTGGACGGCCTTGAAGCGGTCTGGCCAGCCCTCATCGCGATGCGTCTCAACTTCGGCCAGGAAGGCTTCAAACATATCCCGGCGGCATTCATCGCGATCTAGATTCGAATACGACAGGCCGACAAGAGCGCAGTCCCCATGCGCAAGGATCTGGCGCGCAACCGAAATCCCAACGGGCGAGTCCCCCGCGGTGATCACCCATACTCGGGACTCATTATGGGGAGGGAACTGCGGGCGGGAGTAATCGGGGGAGGTATTGTTCTCTGTCATGAGGTCGAGGTCACATTCAAGAGGCCAGTATGTCCATCGCGCAAGGGGACACACTTAATATTGCGAGCAGCGACAGCTCTATTGCCTGCAAAAGTGAAGGAGGAGCTCAAATGCTGATGTGGGGTTGGGGACAAACTGCCGGGCTTCTGGACCGCCGCTCGCCGGGGCTAGTCAAGGCGAGTCCGAGTCGCGTCCGCCATCCATTATCGCGCAATCCGTGGCCTTTTCTTTCCCTTCTTTTTTCCCGTTAACCCCGCCATCTTCCAAGAATCAGGTTCACAATGCCTGAACAGCGGGAACAGAGGAATGAGGGGGAGTCAGGCGTACGTATGACCCTGTTTACCGAGGGAGGCCTATCATTTTGACTTCATCCCTAGTCCCTCATCAGATCTCTCATCCAGGGCGCCACCATCTTCTTTGTCACCCAGTTCTTCATCGGCCAATTCTTCGGAAACAAGCAGAATGCTAGTTCTGGTGGCAATCCAGGGGGTGTAACCACGTTTGGGGACCGCGCCGCTCCTGGTGAGATCGAGAGTTACAGCTCCATTCCGGACACGATTTCCCCTATCTGGCCTACGGACAGCGCGTTGGATATCAGCATCTACATTTCTCCGTCTATTCTCGTTCCATCGTTCAAATCTCTGCCATCGAGTTCGCTCGTATTGGAAGAGAAGAAATTTGGTCTTGGAAATTACAGTGATGTTAGGGAAGTAGAGGCTACCATTCAGGTTCCAAAGGAGGTCCAGAACAACGGAACTCTGTGGGCGCACTTCCTTGTGGGATTGAGTGGACATCAGTTGGACCCTACCGCTAAGGACTACAGCACGGACACAGCTGTCCACTTCTTCCGCCCTCTCAACCAATATCTCCCCAAGAAGAAGGCTAAGAAGCTCAAGAATCTCCTCGCGAGCGCCGATGAGACTGAGGAGGAGGAAGACGATGGAACCCCCGACGTTTCGATTGCCTCGTTTTACCACTCGAACTTTACACTATCGGTTATCCCCGATTCCTCTGATATGAAGTACCGCCAGATCCATCCTGCTATTCGTCGTCAGACCCAACTGGAGACGACTGGTGCGAGGGATGTTTCCGGTCAAAACGGCTGGTACTATCCGATTGTTTTCCTGAATACATTTTGGCAGTTGAGGACTCACATGATGGAGCTCAACTCGACGGTTGAGACGGTTCCCATCCGGTTCACACTCAATAACCTTCAGAACTGGAAATTTGCAATGATGGCGAGTCTCGATGACAACGCGAAGCAGACAGCTCGACAAGCCGCCTTTGGAGGCTCTACCCCTGGTGGCGGTGATGGCAGCGAGTTTGAGATGGTGAAGGAAGTTCTTCTCGATACCAACATCTGGTTGCTGGGTACTACCGGTGTGGTTACTATCTTCCACATGATTTTCGAAACTCTCGCATTCAAGAATGACATCGTAAGTCCATATATTGCGCTATGAAAAACGGTTTCTTTTCTATGGCTAACGATTTCCCCCCCAAAGTCTCACTGGCGTAAGAAGAAAGATAATGTTGGAACCTCCGTTCGAACTATCTTAGCCAATGTGTTCATGCAGACTGTCATCTTCCTCTACCTCATGGACAACAGCGAGAATACCTCTTGGATGATTCTCGCCAGCCAAGGCTTTGGGATTGTCTTGGAAGCCTGGAAGGTCACTAAGACCGTCAATGTTCGCTTGCGCCCGCCTCCGACCGGGTCCTTCTTCTCATTCCTGCCCTATGTGATTGTGTTCGAAGACAAGCACAAGCTCACAGAAACAGAGAAGAAAACGCAAGAGTATGATGAGATTGCGTTCCGCTATCTTTACATCATTGGCGTGCCTCTCCTTGGAGCGTACGCCGCATATAGCTTGATGTATAACACCCACAAGTCATGGTACTCGTACATCATCGAAACTCTTGTCGGCAGTGTTTATGCCTATGGATTCCTGATGATGGTTCCTAGTCTATACATCAACTACAGACTCAAGGTTCGTGCCTCTCTATAACTCAGCTGGAAAATATTGACAGAATTACTCTAGTCCGTCGCGCATATGCCTGGAAAGGCTATGACTTATAAGTTCCTTAACACTTTCATCGATGATCTCTTTGCATTCACCGTTAAGATGCCATGGCTCCACAGACTTGCGACCTTGAGAGACGATGTGATTTTCTTCATCTGGCTCTACCAGAGCTACAAGTACAGAGTTGACTACACACGTGTCAATGAGTTCGGGCAGGGAGGTGAGAGTGATGATGAAGAGGAGGAATCAAAGCCCGAAGAGGCCGAGACAGTCGAGGAGGAAAAGAAAGAAGCTCCTCAGGCATCTGGAAAGCAAACTTCCAAATCATCTGCCCGCCGGAGGAAGTGATGATCCCCGCCTCACCGGATCATCGACCTTCTCTACTCTATTCTGAGTCTTTGTCCTGGCAAGATCACTGTTTGTGGCTTTGGCTTTTATAATAAAGACATATTAGTTAGGCATATTTTGGCCATTCGTATCGAACGCAATACGGTGTACATACAGTACAGGCAATAGATGAACGCAAACCCAGTCAACGGGTGGTTGAGACTATTACACCATATTAGTACCACCATTCAGTATAATAAATTGAACTTCCCTTACCTATACCTGCTAGATTTATTTTCAACATTGATGCTCAATCGGAACCCGCATTGTACGCGGTGACCGCCAGATTTGGTTAAGGCCAAGATTTCGTTACCCGTTAATTCCCCAAATAGTCGATCAAGAACGGGAGACCAACGATCAACACTAACAAACTACGCGACAGTAACAGCTAAGCAGGTATCTACCAGTAAATTAACAATTATATTTGATTTAAACTGACAAATACTTTAGTTAATATTGTGTTCAGGCGCATTCTGCAGAACACTGTGTGCGAGTTGAGGATAACGCGACGCATTCCTCGCCCGCGCTGTATACGCCGTGTTTTGAAGCAGCTTGGATTTATACAAGAGCGCCACCAAAAACAGGGACAGTTTCATTGGTACCGAAATTAGCTTGCCTGGCCTGGAGATTTTGAATAATGTCTTCTGACGTGGAAAGAGGTATGTTCCGATTTGTGCTTAGGGCGAGAAACTATTCTAATGTCGCCTAGATGAAGTCAGACCGATCGATTTGTTGGATGCAATTGAGCACCTAGAAACAGGTACGTTGAGGCTACTACCTTACGCCAAATTTCTATGTCTAAACCTACATTGTAGTCGCTTCTGTGCCGCCAAGGCAGCGTTATACAGATGCCGGACAGCTAGGGAAGCAAATAGCGGGATTCGCATATGAGAGCGGAGTTCCCCAAGCTGCTCTTGAGCGTCTGTTGAAAATTCTCACGCGGAGTAATCATCTTGACCAAGGAACAATCACAACTTTGATAAAAAATCTATATCCATCTGAGCGGATAGCGTCCAAGTTGGTAACGCAGGTAGTGTGTTGTCTTGGTCCAACGAAGAATAAGCCAAGCCCAGCGACACAGGCTCTATTGCTGCGATGGTTAATTCTTGTCTATGATTTTATTGATGATCGATCTCACCTGTCGAAACTCTACGCGGTACTCTTTAACCACCTTGACATGATCAGCTTGCGCAAGCCCCTGTGTCACATCCTCTCTTTCATTACTAGGAGAAAGCATGTCAAGCCATTCAGAATCCAAATGCTCATGGAGCTGGTTGGCACTTCCGGTGGTGATGACAAGGAACTCGTCTCCCTTTTGCGCGTCTTCAAGAACTATTACCCCGATGTTATTGTGGGAGATCCTGGTAGGAAAGGCTTGTTCTTCAAGCATCCAGATCCTGAATGGACAACTCACGTACGACAAGTTCAAGAATTAAATTTGGAGCGGACTCAAGGGGTCGGGTCTACCAGTTTTCAGGTGGTTCACCGCGGACTTGTCAAGAGAAGCAAGGTGGAGACTATTGTTCCTGATGTACAGACTTCTCGAGTTGCGCGTAACCGGACTTCGTTAGAGGAGCTAAGAAACGTCGACCACTTTATCGAAAGACTTGACAAGATTGAGCTCCCCAACCAGATTATCTCCACCATTGCAGATGGTCTAGCGCAAAAGTACCTCTTCTTGGTACATCCTGAAGTTGCAGATGATCGTTTAAACGATTGGCTGCAAGCTTTTCTGAGTGATCATTTCGAGTATGCTCAAGACTTCGATGATGAAGGTGTGGAATCCCTAGGCTATGTGTTGACCCTAGCCGTCAATTACGCACGATACGCGAAGGTAAGAATGCCCATGCAAAATTATTCGATAGCAGAGCTAATAGCATCTAGATGATCCCCGACGCCTTCCTTTCCTTCTTGAAGTCATATATTCCAATCTGGAATGGCCTTGACAACAGACAGCCGATGTTCGAGTTGCTGGAGTACCTTCCGATTGAGAACTACGACGCTTTGCGAAATGACATTTTTGCTCCCTTGGAAGCCGCTATTTTGGAAGACACTGCCTCGTCTAAAGCGATTCTGCTTGAACTTTACTCGGCTCTAGTCCGTCAATGGGGTGTCAAAGTGAGGACAGAACCGTTTAGCATGGAAAGGTCGGAACCTTTAAGCCGTCTAATCTCACATGCCGAGCTCCTGGCGTCCTCCATCTTGGAAAGCCCACCAGAACAGCCTTCAACGGCCGAAAATTACAAACAGAGTACACTATCCGTTCTAGAGTTCTACTTCACATTAGCCGACCTATTTTCATATGCCCACTCGAATGGGAGAATCCGAATCACGGTCCCTCTTGCTCCCACGATCTACAGCCTCGTCTTCACTCCTGTGAGCTCCGTCATCTCAAATATGAACTCTGTGCTTTCTGGTTACAAGGCAGCTTTCGAAGAGTCCATGAACTCAGAAATCTTGCAGGCCCAAACCTCGGGCAACCCGCTCTATCCGCAACAGCTCGTAGGCCAGTTCAACGGATACATAATGGACATCTGCAACCTGGTATGGCGGAACCGGGCTCTCAACTCAGAGGATCCAAATGCGGTGGGCTGCTTGATACCGCCAGCAACAATTACCGCCATTACACAGTACATCCGCGAAATAAATGAGAAATCTCGGAGAAAGAACCGCGAAGCTGCCTTCTCTTATACGACGGCATCAGCATTTTCCTTGAGCCACCATGCTGCCCTGAGCAATTTCTCCGCTGCCTGCTTCGCTGATCTTGAGAGAGAAAATGGTATTGGAGAGGATAAACCGAAGTTGCATAAGCCTGTGACGCAGAAGGCTTTGGGTGCCCTGGAGAAGGAAGGTGGCTTTCAGACGACTTGGCAGGATTATAGGGTACGGATGCTTGACTGGATGGATGCTACAGGAGGTAATGGGATTGCGAATTTGATGCGCACGACGATGAAAGCACTTCGAAAGGAGTAGGTAACTACCTAAGCTATTATGTGAACAGAAATACATTACAGCATATCTTGGAATATTCATGTAGTCACTCTATTCTATAATTTTTAGGTGTCTTAAAGACTTAATATACAACTGGGTGCGGGTATACTATACAAGGAACAATGCAAACCAATACTTGCGCTCATCAGAAGGCTTGAGTTGTGTTCAGATATATGTCACGGACGCTGGCTTCTTCACGGAGATACGCCAATATCTCCTCAATCTCTTGCACTTGCGCCTCGTCTTTCAAATCCACCAATGTATCCTGGTTTGGAGACCAGACAATTTCAAGCTCTTCAATCGTTAGTCCAGCTAAGTTTGAAAGCGTTTCGCCAACGATCTTAGTCTCAGATGGCTCGGTGAATATCACAATGCGTCCTTCCTCATCAGATATGATATCTGTAGCGCCCGCCTCAATGGCTTGGTCAAGGCAATCGTCCGCACTGAAACCATTCTTCTTCTCAAACACTATCCGTCCTTTCTTCTCAAATAAATATGCAGTTGGGGTAGCAGAGCCACCGGCTTCCTTGACAGCGTGCCGTACATCCTGTAATATGCGTAACTTGTTCTCCGTTTGACACTCGATGACAGCCGCGACGGAATGCGGTAGAATGGCCTCAATGGTAACTTGCTCCAGCGCTTCACCCGTTACACTCACTCCTTGGCCCCGAGCAATTGCTGCTTCGATTATTACTTTTGGAATTCCGGCCCTTTTTGCGTTCGACAAGGCGAGGGTAAGACGAGGATTGAATTTCGGATCTGGTCCCCACACTTCAAGGTGTTAGTCTAGATAGCAGCACAAGCGGAGGTTCTTAGTATCACTCACTCTGGATAGCGGAACTGATTTCCTTTGCGACCGTTTGTCGCTCCTTGCTTTTCACCTTGTCATTCTTCGCCTTGTCATGCTTGATTTGCGACCACCGGTTGTGTCCCGCGGACAAAGACGGGGAGCTCGTAAAACTGCGACGAAGGTCCCATCCGGTCTGCCTAGCGCGAACGCGCTGCTGCACCAGTCTCTTGCTCACTATTGATGCCATTGAAGATACCAGACGTCTCTATCTCCCCTTTCTGCAAACAATCAGGCAATCTACAGGTCGGGGACCGGAGGCTATAGACATGCAGAGCCGGCCCGACAGTTTCTCCGCGGCCGCTCCCCCATACTGTTGTGTGGACACGACTAAGGAGGTACACTTAAGCTTCATTCATAGTTCATTGTCTTGGTAATAGCTTATTCTATTTCTTTAGGGCAATTTTATATGGGAGCCGCCTTCACTGGCCCAGCATAAATCCAATGTCTTCAACGGAGGTCGCCAGTCCATCTTCCGACAACCATTCTACGAACGATGCGGCCCCTCGTGCGGAGCTCGATATCACAAAGCTGCATGCGCTACCCTCTGAACAGCAGGACCTGTACCTCCTAACCTTCACCTCCGACTTGGTGCAGCACATCTCCGACCTCGATAAAGCCCAGATATGCGCCGAACAGAAATTCCTGAAGCAGGAATTACTCAAGGTCCTTACGCTCTCGTCGCCGGTGATCACACGAGTTATCCGCAACAATCTCGGGCGTTGTTTTGGCGCGATATTCACAAAGGGCGACCGCGGTATACTTTTTGAGACGGTCACGGAATTATTAGGCGTGTTGAATGCTGGGAAGAATGAAGCAGATCTCCGGACGAAGTTCGCCGCGGCTCATTGTTTGGGTGACGTCTTCACTACTGCGGGGGAGAGTGTTTTTGCCCAGGCTGGCGCCGTTGTTACGAGTCTGCTGAAATTACTGAAGCCGTCTAGTAATCACACTGGCTGCCGAGGGTCTGTGTTTGCTGTGTTGCGCAAAGTGGTTGGTGGCACCGGAGTTCCTGTGGATGAGGGGACGGCGCGAGATATCTGGAAACAGGCACGCAATGCCGCTGCCGGCGACAAGTCGACATTCGTGCAGGTCCATGCATGTCGCTGCCTTGAACAATTGCTACATACAACTCCGTATTTCGACAACGCCAACGATTTCGAGACGCTAAAGACTGTTGTATGGAAGGTTATCGATAGTCAGTTGGCGCCTGTCCGACATGCCGCTGCAGCCTGCCTCGCACGGGCTCTGACGAAATTACACGCCAAGGACTCTCGAGTCATGCCGGCTCCGAAACCGAAGAAATCGAAGAGGCAGTCGAAGAAGCCTGGCCCTAGGCCCGGAGAGGACGAGGATGAAGCCGAGGTCTCCGAGTCGTCGGCACCCAAAAAGTCAGAGGCCCGGCTGTTCTTCTTACTTCCTGATCTTCTCCGCCAGCTATCATCACAGTACCTTCGAAGCACAACATCTAACCGAGCACGGGCCGGGATTGCCGTTTGTTACAAGTACGTTCTGCGCATCTTGGGTGACAAGCTTGTTGAAGAACGCTATGACCAGATCGCGAATCATTTACTATTCGACCTTCTCAATCACCCCATAGTGACTTACAATCGGTTCCGACTACTCATGACGAGAAAGGTTGTTGGGAGCATCCTTGAGGAAACCGTTGGTCGCGACTCACTTCGCGAGAACAGTCGACTCACGGCAGCCAAATGGCTAATAAACGACATACTCAAGGACTATCCACAGGTCATGCAGGAGCGCCGTGAGCCTAGCAAGTATACGCTGACGAGTGCACTCAGTGCTTTGTCTTCGCTAATCTCGTCACTTGGTTCCGCTTTTGCTTCTCTCGCTGAGAGTTGCCGTGATGCGTTGCTACAAGTTCTTGCTCACCCCAGCTACACTGTCCAGGTCCACACGGCGCACTGTCTACGTACCTTTGTCCTTGCCTGCCCAACCCAGCTATTATCATGCGTCACGATCTGCTTAAATAGCCTTAATAGAGAAGTAGGGCAGCTGTCTACCCCACGACAATCACCTCGGCGCTGTGTTGGATATGCCAATGGCATGTCCGCGATGCTAAGTACATCCCGGCTGCAACCACTCTACGGATCTGTTGAAGTCTACTCTCGCGTCTTTACCCAAGCCACAGATCTTTTAAAAATAAGCAGTAACTCGGAGCTGCGAGCTGCCAGCACTCAGATTCAAGTGGCTTGGATATTGATAGGGGGGCTGATGCCTCTCGGCCCTAGCTTTGTCAAAATCCACCTCTCTCAGCTCATGTTACTCTGGAAAAATGCCCTCCCCAAACATCTGAGCCAGGAAAATTCTGCCAAGAAGGGGTATTTGGAGATGAGTTTCCTAGCGCATGTTAGGGAATGTGCCCTTGGGGCGTTGCTTGCCTTCATGGAGTTCAATGGCAAGGTGATAACCGCCGATGGAGCTCGGAGGATTGCTACCATGCTACAAAATACAGTCGAATTTATCGATGAAATCCCTCGGCAAAAGGGTGTAATGGATATATCGCAACGTCTTCACCCTTCCTTGCAATTGCATGATATTGAAACCATGGTCCGGCGGCGTGTCCTACAATGTTTTGCGAAACTTCTTCATGCCCATCCACTCAGCCACGCAGATGTGATTTCACAGTCGAGTCTTCTAAGCCTGGCGATTTCGTCGTTTGCTGATCCCGACGCTACCCAGGCTAACCCCCTGGAAAGTTCAATCGCAGCGTCAACCACGCAATTCGAGAACCTATGGGACCTATGTGATAACTTCGGATTTGGCATAACGGGCCTGGCAAGAGAATATGTTCGTTCGACTCTCTCAGGGAAACATGAGGGCGAGAGTGGCCCAGCTTGGTCTGCGGTCGAATCTACAGATCAGGTTGTTGACGATGCCGTAAGTAAACACATCCTCATTTCGTTATGCGGTTTTAACAATTACAGTTGATATTCCCCATCTGCCAAGCTAGTGAGCATGACTCGGTCCTGCTTTACTCTACAAGGCAAGGAGACCGCCTCGCAGCCGACCCACAGTCAACCGGAGTAGTCAATGCTGCGATTGAGTTGTTCTCTGTAGCCATCGCGCTGCATGCTCCAAAGGTCCAGGAAAGTAGTGTCGAGCAAATTGCGACGTACCTTTCTTCGACAGGCTTGCAACGTAATCCTGGACGCAAAGCAGCTATGGTCGTCAACATATCCGTGGCCTTACTTCATGCTCTAAAGACTGCTGTGAGAGAAAGTGGTCCGGCAGCAGGAAAGCTCAGTCCCACGACTGAGAAAGTGCTGCAGGAGCTTATTCAGGTAGGAAATATTCTGTTTATACCTCAAAAAGCCTGGTGAACTTGAACCTAATCAATCTAGAAATTCGTCATTGATCCCGATCCGATCGTTCGCACAGTTGGTGTCGAAGCGCTTGGACGACTGTGTGAAACTTCAGGCAATGCCTTCACCAATACGCAGATTAACTGGGTGGTTGACACAATTGTTGCAAATAGAGAACCTAATGCTCGCGCTGGCTGTGCGGCTGCCTTAGGATGCATCCATTCTCAGATCGGTGGCATGGCAGCTGGTCTACATCTGAAGACCATTGTTGGTGTGCTCATGTCACTTTGTAATGACTCTCACCCTGTTGTTCATTTCTGGGCTCTTGGTGGCTTGGAAAAGGTGGCCAACTCGGCGGGCTTAACTTTCTCTCCCTTCGTCTCTAGTACTCTAGGGATGCTGGCTCAGCTCTATAACGCCGATAGCCACAATGTCGAAGCCGAGACCCTTGCCACATCTAATATTGAAATGTCGTACTTAACGCCTGTGGTGATCAGTCGCTGTATTGATTCTTTGATCAACGTCTTGGGCCCCGATTTACAGGATATCGCCAAAACGCGGAACCTAATCCTCACTCTTCTGCGCCAATTTCAGCTGGAGGAGAACCCAGCATTGGTCACAGAAAGCTCCCGATGTCTTGATCACCTGTCGCTATATGCGCCAGGATACGTCGACTTTTCCGGATACGTGAAACGTCTACAGAGTGAACTGTCCGCGCAGGACCCTTTGATGAGAGACGTGGCTATTCAAGCCTTGACGAACCTAATGAAACGAGACGCAACCGCCGTCATCAACGCTGCTTCCCCTGCTTTGCAAGAGGAGATATGGCTCGCATTTGACGATAATCCTAATAACACTATTCTGAAAAGCATGATCCAGGATTGGCTACAGCAGACTGCTCTATCTGAGACTGAGATTTGGGTTCAGCGCTGCCATGACACTCTCACAAAGACGCGCTTGAAAGTGGAAGATCTTCCACCCATGTCCGGCATAAAACCCACAGCCACTGACCTACCAGACGATGAAGTTGCGGGCTTTGCATCTGCAATCGCAGGTGCTGGTCAGGAAGAGAGTACGGGTACTGTTGCCGGTCAGGAACTGTTGAAATGGCAAACTCGAAACTTCGTTATGAGCTGTCTGAGTGAGTTGTTGCAGTTGGTCCAAGAGGCTATTTTGCCAGATCAAACAATTCCCGCAGAGTTGGCTCTCCAGCAAAAGGTCGGAGACATTGTCAGGATGGCATTCTCAGCTTCAACCGCAAACGTGGTTGAGCTGCGCGTTTGGGGTCTGAAGATACTGGACCAAGTCTTAAAGGTAATACTGCGTCCGTCTTCTTCGTTTCCGCTAATTAATATTGTTCTAGATGTTTGGCAAAACTCCCGATCCAGATTTTGCGGAAGCATCTTTACTTGAGCAGTATCAGGCTCAGATCGGATCGGCTCTTACACCAGCTTTCGCTGCCGATTCTTCTCCTGAGCTTGCCTCGGAAGCTATCAATGTGTCCGCCACCTTTATTGCTACCGGTATCGTAACGAATGTGGAGCGTATGGGAAGAATCTTGAAGCTGTTAGTGCTGGGCCTGGAAAACTTTTCAGCAAAGCCCGATACAACGGAGATTGGAGATCTCAAGGGCCTCAACTCAAACGCAAAGGTCATGGTTAAGATGGCGCTATATGCGGCCTGGGCACGGCTTCAAATTGCGAGCATCGAACACGAGTATCTTAACGATGTTGTTCAGCCTTACCTCCTGAGACTCACTCCGCTGTGGCTCTCCTCCCTTCGAGAGTATGCCCAACTCCGGTTTGAGCCAGATATTTCGGGCAGCCTTGGTACTGGACCGGAGAGTGGTGACTTGGATGAGGTTTACGCTGCCCTCAATCGGGAGACGCTTCTCAAAGTAAGGTTTTCCCTTTGCTATCTTTTCTCATCGGAACTAACAGGATTTGCAGTTTTACCAAGAAACCTGGTTGAGTCTCGTCGACGCTATTGCTGGCCTTGTAGAGAGGGATATAGATTTCGTCTTCGATGCTCTAGATGGAAAGGCACAGATTGAAGAACCCGAGAAGCCGGAGGATGACCACGATGGTCCCACTAATGGAAAGCCAAAAGGGAAAGGCCACGATATAAACTACCGTGACGAGCCTGTGGCATTCTTCTTCGTGTTGTTTGGTCTAGCTTTCGAAGCTCTCGTTGACCAGTCCACCTCAGCATCACAGAGAATGGAAATCCTCCAGGCTCTTAAAAGAATCTTGAGGCCCATAATATCGGGTAACGCTATATACCAGGATGCTATTTTCTCCGAGACAATGGACAGTCTTGATCGTCTAGCGCTAACTGAGGGAACTGCCATCCAGAATGTGATTGTTGAGATAGCGCGGAACCTCGCTTTAGACCATCCTTCCGCGAAGGCTGGCGAGGATCGCAGTGACCATCTGTCGGATGACATTGAGCAACTTTTTGAGCTAACAAGGAGCATCATCCTAGTCCTCGCGGGCCTTCTACCCAACCTTCGGGAGTCAACAACCATCGCACGATTCAACGTGGGATCTGATGATGCGCTGGCGCTTATTCGCCTCTCACTGTCTTCGTTGGTCAATGTCGCCTCGATCTTCCCGTCGATTATCCGGAATGACCTCAACGCATGCATTCTTCACATATTCAGCACCATTCTTGCGACAGGCCTCTGCCAACAAGAAGTCGTTCCTCAAGCCCTCCCGACATTCAAACACTTCATCCAAAGCATCAGCCATCAGAAAGAAGGCTCAGACAGCCCGGAGAATCAGAGCGTCGTCTCCCACCAACTCCGCGGATGCCTCGTCCGCTTCCTAACAACCCTCACAATTGCGCAACGCCGGGAGTCAGAATCTTCATTGCCCTGCGCCAAAAACACGCTATTAATGATTACCATCCTCCTAACTACTGGCGGACACCTTATTCCACGCCACGACCCAATCCTTCCGCAAATTCTCAATGAACTCCTCGACTGCCTCCAAGATGTTGGCCTTGCTAGCGTTGCAGCGGGCTGTATCCGTTCTATCCTCGTTTCACCTACACCCAAATCTCCAACAGATCAGGTAATCGCCAGATACCTGATGCCACGCCTCATATCTTTCCTCGTGGGCACCCCCTCCGAATCCGGTGACGTTGCGAATGATCCAGAGAATTCAAGAACTATCATCGCACGCACATTGGTGGCTTTTGCGACAAGTGCAAATATCCTCGCTGCCGAGGAGATGCCAACAACCATATCCCTGGTCATGTCATGCCTCCTTGCACGGGCGAAACGCGAAGGCCAATCCGTCCACAAGGAGACCGCCGGGTACCTCTTGGAACTGGCGAAGTCTAACCAGCTTGTTTTCAGGGCATTAGTAGCGACGATGAACCCTGAGCATAAAGGGTTATTGGAGGAGGTGCTTCGTAGTGCAGATGTTGGCTCCGGATCTGCGGCGAACAGGGAAGGGCAAGATAGTGCGCAGGCAGGGGCTCAGCAAAGCATGCCGAGTATTGCGCTGAGATTGGATTTCTGAGGTAGTTGTGTAGCGATTAGTTCTTGATGTGTCAATGCATTCCATTATAGTTTCGTTTTCATACCATGATTATATATATATATATATATACTACGCTAATATACTATGCTTACCCTGAGTGGCACTCCACCTTTCCGCCCCAATAATACGACTCCAACCTAGCAACACCTTCGACTTCCTGAACCTCTCTTTTCCATCGCCAAACCCCCATCACTCATTTCATCCCCAATGCCCAATCTTACAGATCTCCCTTCAGAAATATTCAATATCATTCTATCCCACTCCCTAGGCGATGATGAGGATGTCCCGCGCCTCTGCGAGCTCGCCCTCCTCAGCCGCAAATGGTACGCGGCACTGATCGACCGAATCTATTCAGAATGGACATTCAACGGCGCAAAACAACCGTTCTTAACGCTCTGGAAATTTCTGAGGACCATTCTCCGTGATCCTCATTTAGCAGCACAGGTACGAACGTTAAGGATTGGTAACTGGGGGTTCTTTCCAGATGCCTCTGTACATGGGCCCGATCTTCAGCTCCCCCCAGACGAACTTGATTTAGTTCGTCGCGCTATTCACGATGCGGGAATCGACCATCTTGAAAAGCGTATCATAACAGGTCTACGTAAGCGGGATCGCAGACCTCTTATGGCTATTCTTTTGACACGTTTGTCGAATTTGGAGACTCTCTTTGCCCATGTACCCCGTTCAGACCCGTTCCTGGCATCCGTTCTCAAACAAGCGGTTGAGAATTGGGAGAATGAGACAAATCCGCAGCCAGCTCTTCACAAACTCCATCGGCTTCATATTTGTCAAGAGACCCCTGTGGATACTCCCAAGCAGCCAGAAGATTCTGAACCTGACTCGGATGATGAAGAGTCCGTAAGTAGGGAAGCCTTGCGGCTAGAGTATCTATGGCCTGTTTTTCGCCTTCGAAATCTCCAAGAACTCTCGATGGTTGGCCTGGATACCGACAAAGCAGCATTCTGGTTAGAAGATGGCGGCATATCTCATATCGAAGGTTTATATCTGATCAGTAACTGGAGGTCGATTTGCACATATCCTGACCTCCAAGCACTTATTGGCCAACCAAAGGCCCTGAAAAACTTCACGCTTACCATAAATGATAACCCTTTCGATGCAAGGCGCAACATAGTCATTTCCAACGTCGAAATCTGGAATTGCCTACAAAAACATCAACAAACTCTCAAGACAATCGACATTTGCCGCTCTAGACAGACGCATCGCGATGACAATGGCAACTTTGGCCTTCTCTGCACATTTCCAAAATTGAAGCACATACGTATTCAATCAGAGATTCTCCTGGGAGGATGCTGCGGCTCGCCCCCTGCTCCTTTCCGGCTAAAAGACACACTCCCCCGCTCACTCGAAACGCTCACGCTCCACGGTGAGGAAGGATTCGGTGTAATCCCTGATATCCCCCTCCAGTTGATGGAGCTGATCAGCGGAGAGAATCAGCTTCCGTATCTTACCGCCATAGTGCTGGATGACATTGCGGAGCTCTACGAAGACTTTTCACAGGAGCTCAAGCCCCAGTATCAGATCCTTGATCGTCTCTGTAAAGACAGAGGAGTCGATTTCTGGATTAGGGAACTCATTCCCTCGATTGGGGGAGTGCTAAGCTATCAGGCAATATGGGGAAAGGCATTGGACATGCAGCTTGATGGAGAAGCGCGAAACATGGCCGTTTCTTACAACCCAAAGAAACTTCGAGACCGTCAGGAGCTCATCCTTCACTACGATCACACTGCCGTTGAAGCTGGTGTAGATTCTGAAGACGAATATGAAGCTGATGTAAACACCGGTATAAACGAAACCCGTCAGTCGGAACCAATTCCCTTCACCGACCACACAGGTAAGACCGCATATATGGTCTTTGGGTTTGGGATCCTTCCTCCACTGTTTTCCTTTGCCATCTACTTCACGCACCCCGACGCCACCCCAGAAAATACAGACATGAAGGCGCTTGAGCACCAAATCACACCAGAAAAATACACCATTCGGCACGACGTATACTACCTCCCAGGGGCCAATACAGACGAGTGCATCTCCCATTACCACGACGAGAAAGAAGTCAGAGGAAGTTACAAAGACCAAATCAAGGCCTTCCGAGCTACCCCCCGTGACGAAATCCACCCTCTCCCAGGAACAGCGGGACAAATACCCGGGATGGTAAACAGATATCCGATGCTAGGTGCATATAGATCACTCCTGTTTATCTCCCCAGATGAGAATTGGCGAAATGGTCTTCTTTGCGTGATGTTTGACCGGAAGAACAGCGCTGAAAATGAAGTGAGGTACCGATTGGCAAATAGCCCACCTCCACCGGTTCTGACTACGCGCTATCCACTTAATCAGACAGACCCTACGTACAGCCCTGGTGAGAATACGATCTGGGAAACGGTATTCGACCTTGCGCATCGGGAGCAGGATAAATATCATGTGCCTTGGCAAAGAGCTGGGAATCGTGGCTGGACGACTTGGTAAGGGTAGGACTGGCTGGAGTTGTGCACGCATTGAGGTCTTATACCCTTCGTCTAGAGCATAATCTAGATCGAGGCTGGTTGGACATGGCATCTAGTTGTTCACGGACCTAAAGACAGCTTATTTATATCGCGATTTATATATATGCCTCAAGTCACCCTTTTGGATTCATATATGTAGCAGATGCTAACCTGGTATACAAAGGCGTAAGGACAATATGGTATTTCGACCATTTAAGCTACAATCCGAGTGTTGGATTTATGAGCATATCTATTCTCATGAACATCTACCTAGTTGACATTGTGGGTATCAGACAGCGTATTGAACACAGTTCTAGCCAGGTCAAGGGCACAGCATAGATAGAGATGGTGGATGTATTATAACGGGCAAACAAAGGAAATATGCTTAAAGATGGAGATAATATAAAAAGTCCTAGAACGCCCAGCAAAGACCTGTATAAGTCTAATGACAAAATCGAATGGTAAAACAATAGTGTACAGGATCGAAGGAATGTCTGAGTCCCGATTTGAAGAATCTCAACCAAGAGATTCGCTCAGATGGGTCACTGGAACTGCGTCTTGAGGACGGTGCGATGCTTCAGAGGATTTTTGGGCTTCTTTTGTTTCCTTTGGAGGCGTCTCCTTCTTTTCAGGGGTATTCTGGGCCCGGTGAGTAGATGAGTATCGAAGGAAGAGGAGAATCATAACTAGAGAGTTATTAGCAATGCTGGGACATAGGGGCGGGTGAAGAGAAACGGCGAAAAGAAATAACGTACAAGCACTAATGGCAATTGCCAATGCTGCCCTCCGTGTAAGGATCCACCGCAGACCCTCAATCTCACTCTTACTATCACTGTTCAACGAGACGGTGATCTTATAGTTGAGCTCCTGCACCGAGGTATCAATGCTCCGTTGTAATTCACGAACGGTCATCTTGTGGTCATTGAACATCCCCTTAATGTCATCCTTCAGGCCAGCAAGCTCCTGGTTTGTCCGCTGCGAAAGGATATCAGATTCATGCTGCAATGACGTTCGTGAGGCCCGCTGTCGCTGAACCTCCGAATTCCTAGCCGTCTGCAAGCTAGACTGCAGCTCCGAGCAAGCTGCCTTGAAAAGGTACGTTTCATTCTCAACATCCGACTTCGAAGTGAGATTCTGCTTCGCAAAGTCGAGGTTGTTCTGCAATATGGTCCGCACTGCTTTCATGATCGTCACAGACTGCTTGTCCGAAAACCCGCCAGTCGCAAGATCCTGCACAAGACTATACGTATCGAAATGGTGCACGTACGGCGGCGGGGCCATGTGTGGAGCTTGTTGAGGCGGCGAGGCTGTGGGCGTGAGGTATGCTGACGGCGAAGGCATATGTAGAACCCCGTCGAGCGGATTCCCGTCGAAAATCGGAGCGTTGCGTCGCTCCTCGGATTGAGGTTCCTTGGAATCGGATGGAATTGGTTGCTTTGCCTCGAGAACTTCCGGTTCTGCGCGGTCCTCTTCCTCCTCTTCAGGTTCAACTTGTTGCTCATCTGCCTCCTTGCTCTCGGCTGACTGTGCCGCCTTCTCGGAGTCTACTTGGGAGGATTCCGCTGGTGCATTCTCGGCGGTGTCGCGAGACTGCGATTGTGACTGTGACTGTTCCGATGGAGAATTCGCATCACTCTTCTTCTCCGGTGGCGGAGACTCGGGATCCTGGTTTACGGTGGACTCGTCCGTCGGTCGAGACGGTGGAGGTATATTGGGTTCAACAGCCGGGCCGTACCGCCGCTGAATTGAGCCTTGGGCGCTTCGCCGGGTTGTATGGAAGGCGGCTCGAGAAGGCCGGGGAGGTCGGGCATTCGAGGGGACGCGGAGGGAGCGATACGTAGAAGGCTCGCAGGACTTGACTGCGCGCATTAGGTTCGGGTACAGAAATGGGAGTCTAGGAGACGCCATCGTGCAGGATTGCTGACGGCTCTCGGTAGAATTGAGGTTGCAAAACAAAGGAAAGGCAATGAGCAAAGTGAGAGAAGTTGTAGTTGGCCGGATGAAGCAATTGGGCTGTGGTCTTTTTTCCCGCGGCCAACGAGCGGCGGCAACGTGACGTGACGTAAGCGGTGAAGCTCCCCCGCGGGAACTGCTGAGAGTATACAAATTACTAAGGCAGGGGTTTGACGTGTGATTTGGTTTACAATTCTCTATGATGCTATTATTTACATGACGCATGCTGGATATTAAGCAGGATCAACGGCTAATAATCCGAACAATAACCGTGTCCGGTGCCAGTACTCCTGCGCCCGCTGATCCATGGTCTTGCTGGTCGATCCCGCCTCTGATCCAAAGCTATCTCGGAGCTTTTCTGCAACCTCTTGTAATGGATTCTGCCGCATGTCCCCAGTAGTCGATGCATTGCTCAGGAGCATGGTGTCAAAGTATATCTGAAGCTTAATATCATGGGCCAGTGCTTCTGTTGGTTTCTCCGTGGGAACGCCGCCCCCGTTCCCGGTTGGACGCGTTTCCTCCTCGGCATCCGGTTTGGACTCTGTAGGAGAGTCGATGCTGCTGAGGAACGAGGTAACACGCTCCGCCAATTCTTTTTGTAGGGTATTCTGGAGAACATGTACGGTAGACGTATCCCAAAGTCCATGGCCGTGCCGATCCATAGACTCCACCATTCTCCGCATGAACTTGAACGTAGATTGTGATGGTTGAACAGGAAGCTCGGGTTCACCCTCCCATAGCGTCCTTCCGGCCAGGGCTCTCGACCGAGAATTCACTAAAGTAGCGAACGACAGGGGCCGGGTAGCAGCAATAATCTCTATTGCAAGTATCTCTTGCAGCCCCGGAATGATGTCCTTCGAAAATTCTGTGTCATTCGGGATAAACTCGTGCGGAAGATCTCTTCGAACCAGTCGAATGAGTTTTAGCATGAATGCAGCTTTTTCGCCTCTGTTTGAGTCTCCAATAGCCTTGGAAGTATCGCCGAATGACTTTTGGAGGGCATAAAAAGCCTGCTTAACCGCAGCTTCGAGAGCTTCCCATAGGAGCTGTTTATCGTCCTCGTTTAGAATCGCCGCAAGGTCAATGTCAATATCTTCATCCGCGGCTTCATCGAGTACGTCAGGCCATCGAATCTCTCGTAAAGCGTCAATGGACTCTCTGAGAGACCCAATCGTAAGAAGCCAAGCTTGGTACTTGTCCATCACAACAGATACGTCCGCATCTCTACCGAGTAGCCTATCCGCAATGGCTTCCTTGAAGACAGCTGCACCGTTAGAATAATCGAGCGAGACCAGTTCGTGGTCCCACATGGACTGAATACGACCGTGTTCTGCGCTACCCCAGTTTGAGATGGCCGAGGTAACAGCTTGACCAAATGTATCTAAAGTATTGGCTTTGTCCGATAAGATGTTCTTAAGGCGGCCGTTGAACACATCCCGCGTGCCTTCCAAGATCTGCAAGGCTGAATGGGTAGGTGTTGAACTCCAGGAGCAAAGCCAAAGCTCCAATGTTTCTTTGCGAAGTTGTAGTAGTGGCGAAAACTCCGCCCAGGTCGTGAGGCCGTCCTGGCTACGACGCACAAAATCGTCAAAAGCGCTCTTCGACCACTTCTTAATTGTCTTCTCGGCATCTTGTTTGGATAGCTCACTAAGCTTGATCCATGGCGTGAAGTTAATAATGTCCGTGGCTACCCAACGCCCTAACACATCAAGTGAGAGGTCATCAACATTGCGAATCTCGGGGTCACTAAGTAAAGGTCGGGATTTCAGTTTACTCAGCACATCAGTGAACCGGCGAGAAAGGATGGCCTTCGAGATCTGTAGGGTTTGGACATAGAGACGCAAGGCAGCCAAGATATTCTCGCCGGAATCCTTGACACCCTCCAGCTGATTTCCAATGGCGTCTAGGCGAAGCTTGTGGTAGTACGCAACGGCGTCGTCCGACGACGAACTTGTAGCTAAGCAGTAGGCGGCCAGAGCCTCGATAACCTCGTCAACGGTTGACTTTGCACTAGAAAGGCGTTTATCAATCCTGCTCCGGAGGCCTCGTCTGAGAGAGGAAAGCTGGTTGCGCAAGGTCTCCAGGAACGGCGGCGCAGACTTCTGTTCCGACAAATTTTTATGCAGCAGACGGGATATAACCAAAAGCTTCGCCACGAGGAGGGGTGAACCCCGCTTCCTCAACATCTTCGATATTAACACCGAACACCGATGAAGTAGCGCAAGTTGCGCCCCGAGAGCCCGCTTCGTGGCATCTGCGCTTCATTAGCTGACCACTCCGATTGTCCCTTAAATCCAGCAACCGTACATACCCTGGTCCGTGGTCTCGCCATTTATCTGGTTCAAATGCGTATATTTCTTTCCTATCAGTCGGGGGTTGCAACGCCGTCCAATGTCGCCCAGGGTCGTATCCACATCTTCCATACTGCGACTCATAGACACGATTGTCTCGGCGGTGCCAACAAGCTCTCGATATCGGGTACTATATATGCCATCACAGTTAGCTACCGAACGGGGTGAGTTAGAGACCATTAGCACCTACCCAACGAGCGCCCGGAGCTTCTCCTTGTTGCTTGCAATGTCGCGGCGGAGCTCCTGCTCCACGCGACGTACGGTGGGAACTGGGTATTGGAATGTATCCTGCCATGACTTTAGGCTCTGGGGATCAGGGCCGTCAGACGCCATAATGAAAATAGGCAGGACGCCGATGTGAAAGGCCGGTGACCTCGAGGCTATTGAACAGGTAACGGATAGTGAATGAGCAGGGTGCAGTAGTGCCTGAGGCATTCCGTAGCAGACTTAAGCTATTCCGGATCAGGAAATTATGCTGACTCATCTGTTATATTTCTAAATTCGGAAATAATCGGTGCCGCTTTTGCTCATAGATCGCCCACGACAGATCAAACCGAATGGACTGGTGATGACTTTGGAGTGAGATTATACGCTGCCCAGAGACTACTTCAAGCAACCGGAATATCTATGAAAGTAGTATGGTCCCGGTAGGCTCCCATTTGTTGCTGTCTACTCAACCTGTGCTAGCCCTAATTAATATCGACCCTGCTTCAACTAGCATATCCCTATAATAATCACTCTACCCACATCTCAATTTCTTCAATTTGCACATCCACTTGCCAAGTTCCCCTCCAAGCTGTGGCTTCGTACAAAGCATCACCAGATATATTGTGAAACAGCACTGCACGCTTACAATCCTCTTCCAAGACTAATGCCACCCCCTCGTCTTTCTTTCCAAAGATAAGGCTCTGACTGCAAATCTCCCATCCTGGTCGGCCAGCGTTATCTCCTCGGAAGACATCATGGATTGGACTAAGTTGGAAGAGAAGACAAGGATCCACGTCTCCGTGTTCATCGTGACCACGAAATGGCAGGTAGTATCCGAAAATAGCCTTTTCGTTAGTTTGCGTGGTTTTACCGGATATGAGGACAGTGATGGGGTCCTCGGCTGCAGTCATATCTTCTGCCACCTTGGCGACGTCAATAACCTCTCCCTCATGTTTCGTCATGTCGTAGTACCTGTACAGTTCGAAGTAGTCGTATTCGAAGTTGTCTGACTGGGAGATTATAAGCCCCAGCTGAGAGAGAATTGGCCGGCTGGCTATGTGTCCTGCTTTATTTGGGAGGTCTCGAATATCAAGCGTCTCTAATGGTGTATAAAAGCTGGATAGAAGACGGTGGAGGCCCTTTAATAGTGCAGGCTGTTTAAATGATTAGTGTTTCCTTTAAAAGAGAGGATTTGTTTGGTAGAGATCATACGGTTGCATGACTAGCCTGCTCAAACATATCCCACGTAATGCCGAGATTAGGAACCTGAGCAAAGCTTCTGACGATACAGTCCGAGATTTGATCTAGCTCTTCAGAATACACTGTCTGCACAAGTGGCCGCCCAACATGCGCGATCAATAGGAGTTTCACAAAGGCTCTGAAATCATCCCGTGGAATACTGAGATCACGGAGTTCGTCTTCGTCACCTTGGCGAATCTCTTTAGCCAGTGTTCGAAACCGGTCCCGCGGGACACAAAACCATTGGGGTATGCGATGCTCGTGTACATTATAGAGCGTGTCAAGGAGGTCATGGAACATCTCATCCCCATCTTCGTCATAGTTGGTCTGGCCAAACTCCCGGGTAGATTCCGGCAGGTCAAATGCCCTGCGTTCTGCCTGCTTCCTTGCCTCATCTGTGTTGACTGGGAAGTATTTACCATCACGGGCCGTCGCTAGGCTTTGGAAGAGGAGACGCTGGGTATCGCCTGGCGTCCTGGCTCGGGACATATTTCCCTCTTCGTAAGCTCGACGAGAGCGTTCATAGTCGGCCTGCACTATTGCCCTGAAGAGGTCATCTTGTGTTAATGACTCGACTGCCGAGCCAAAAAATGGAGCTTGCGAAAGGTATAGAAGACTGCGATAAATGATAGCCCTTGCTTCTGCCATGGACGGTGATAAAAACCCTGCGGCTTGAAGAAACGAGACGAAAATAGGCAGGGTGACCTTTCTTGTCCCGTTCTCGTCGATGCAGAGAGAATCGAAGGTCTTGCGAAGCTGGGGTAATTCTTCATCCTCACTTAAGCAACAGGAGTTCTCCATTCTCTCAGTGAGTGTCTTCAGAATGGCCTCGCGGGTCATTAAGCCGTTCGCGACCCAATCATCGATAACGAACGGTCTCATTATGAAGCAAGTGAAGTGCAGATATCTATAAGCACAAGAACAAACACCAAGCAATGATGACAGGAATCGAAGCTTTTATGTTCGATCGTTGTGGGTCTGCACTCTGGCCCCATGGCAGTGAGACAGACAGTCCAATCATTATAATGTCTTGCATTCGTAGTCGATGGAGCTGGCTGGAGGCCTAACTTGTTTCTCTTCCATTTGGTCAACTGTTGTCCTCGAAGTGTAGGTAAGATCGAAAGATTATTCTCTACTTAATTAGTACCACTCTCATCTAGATACCATATTACTTCCTGATTCACTCGACCTTCCAGCAACCATTCTGATAGCCATGTCCGTTGATAGCTACTAACACTGTACACAGAGAATATCCTGGTCGCTGGCAAGCTGCATCGGTATATCCAGCCCAAATAAATCCACTTCCTCAATCACTCGCACTGCCTGCGTCGCGACGAGGACCTCGCCGTTTGCATTCAGCACCTGGGCGAATATCCACGGCCATGCATTATCCTGGATTTTGAACGCCGCCTCGAACGACTTGCGCTCTACCTCGCCAAGCAGAATCGAAGGGCACTGTTTGTCGCCGCCAGAGCAGCCGATCTTGAAGAATCTCCATCGCGCCGCCTCGGTGTCCCCGTTCCACGAGACGTAAACCATTATCTGTCCCTGTGCCTTTTCTCTCAGAGCGACGATTGCCGGGGCTTCACGCGGGGTCCCCGTCCAGTTGAACCGAAATACACGATAACTCTGAACCCCCTGGCCTATCTCGCCGGAGTCCAAGTACGCGTGGAACAGCGGGTCACCATCCCGATTGAACTCCGTCATTGCCCCGGCTTGACCCCATCCAACAAATGTGTTTCCATTCGAAAGATACTGGACGTTCCCCTGGGATGGCGCAAGGATTGAGTCTGGCGACTTGAGGCTTGATACAAGCGACGCTGCCTTTGTCGTATGGTTCAGGCAGATTACTTTGGCACTGGAGTAGTTGCGCAGCACTTCAACCCCGCCACCGCGATGGCCGTTGGCGCGGGCAGAGTTGTCGAAGAGGGAAACACACTCATCCCCGTCCCTCGTGCCATGTGGAGTGTAAAATCTTGCATCGTGCTGATAAGCAAACTGGGCCTCGACGGGGATCGAGAAGGTGGAATTGCGCCCGCCCAGTTGCCAAATCACGTCGCCCGTGGCGCCATTCACTTTGTACAATGCCGAGGCGTGTCGAGCAGAGATCAGATAGTCGCCTCTGTCGTCCTTGTCCACGCTGTTGATATGGAAGTAGTCCCAGGCAGCTGTGGAGTTCCTGGCGTCTCCCGCGTGGCCGCTTGCGAGTGAGACGACGCTGGCTGTTTGCTCGCGCACCGTCAGTCTACCACGTATTGAATCCATCGGTGGAGGATGTAGAATCGTTCATACCAGATGGATCGATATGCTCCAGGCTTCTCCATTCAAACAACACCTGTCTGGAGTCCAAGTCCAATTCTCCAAGCCCAGAAATGTCAGCGAAATTCCACGATACTGTTTAACAAACCAACCTTGAAATATGCCATCTACAATCCAGTGCTGGCCTACTAACCCTCCGTAGGACCTTAAGTCTATGACAGTCGGCTCGTAAACCTCAACCAGCGCCGTCGTGCCGTTGACAACCCGAAACTCGTGAATGGAGATGATATGGTGATTCCCCCCACGCAGCAACCGTACAGGGTCATATTGCTGGTTCAGAAGGGTCGGCTGCCCCCATCCATGGCCATGGTAAAAATCCAATTCGCCCTGGAATACGGAAATCACTGGCTCACCCTTATATTCGGTCACTTGCATATTCCCAACCCAGCCGGAGAGAAGGCCCAGACTGGACCACACCAGATCACCATTATCGCGAAAGATATATCCAGCAGGCTGCTCGGGCCCGTCTAGACCGCCACCTTTCACTAGTCCTGAGTACGGACAGACGAATATGTATCCGTTTCCCGGGACGGGCGCAGGGATGGTGATGTTGAGCCGTGGCGGGGAGAGGTCAGGGCGGGACCGGTATTGTCCGTCAGCGCAGACCAAGCCACAGAGGCTGGCTGCTATGGAGACCCATCGCAAGAGCATGGTTGATGAGACAGGCATAACATGATTTACTGGAAGATGTTGGAGCCTTTCTTTTTCTACGAGTTGGCGAGTCTGGACTTGGGGCACGATCCGGCCCTTACCCGCCACTTACCCGGCCCCTATCCGTGCCCTAACCCGTCACCCGTTACTGTCAGTAGACGACGCGCAAGAGATCCATGCTACTTGACAATGATCAAGTATCTTTCTAGGATCCCATCATCAATTGGATATCGATCACAGTCAATGGTATATCACAGCATGAAAAGAAAGAAAAAAAGGTATAACGTGTGGCTGACCTCACGCAGGCCTCGTGAATCTGCTAGTCACAAGCTGGTCCCTGAAGACATTCAGCATCAGGGCCGTGCTTATACAGCAGACGGTGGGCCCAGCCATTAGGCTGTTCACTTTATCGGTGGCATGTACTCTCAGGACATTTGCGTGTTTATGATGCTGATTTATCACAGTGAGGATTGGCTCTCGGACTGGCATGTTGATTGTCAGGTTTCACAACTGTTAGGGGTTGCCGGCGGCTCAACCGGGTATATATGTTTGTATAACCGAGGCTGCAGAACATTTACGGCATGAGAATCTGATTAACTACACCCAGTCTTGTTACAAACGCCTACGTGTCTCGGATAGTGGTAGGTGATGACCAGTTTAGGGCCCTAGGTCGACTGCAGGGCGCGGTAATGTTTGGAACAGCATTGGCCTACCTTGGTACGTCCTCGCCCATCGGCGTTTAAGGAATAGCGTATTGAACACTTCACAGGTGGAGGCTTGGTAAGCGAATACTACAGCGTATCTTCTGCTTTTGCAACAGCACTTGGGCTCATGGTGTGCTCTGTTATCTTCGAACTGGCCTTTCTGGGGAACTCAAGGCCCGCCGCGACATCTCCTCGCCCCCAAGGCTTCTCCCCCTCGAATTTTTTTGCCCCCGTGAGAATCTTCAAGCCAGCCCTATTGCAGCTTGCCAATGGCCGGGTTACGAGATACCACGGCGGCTGGGCTCTCGGCCTCAGTTCATTCCTTGGAGCAGTCAGTAGCGAAGCAACCGACGCATGTTTCCGTATCCGTCTCACCAGACGATAGTTGGCGACGGGGTTTATGCCCATTCTTCTGCAGCTGTATTCGACCAACGCGCTTGGATTCAGTGTCGAACAGGTCTGTGGCCGCTTTTGAACTGACCCCGTCGCAATCAGTGCTGAGAACTATCGTAGAACGGATTCCTTATGGCTATCAACTCTGGTGTAAAGGGTCCCTTCTTAACGACGCTGTTCCCCCCTTAGATAATCAAAATTAATCAGTATTAATCGAGTATTAAAACTCCAGGCAAGCCTGGTAACTGCGCAAGCCACGTGCGAGCACGCGAGACTAGCGGGTGTGGCGTTATCTCGGCCTGCAAATCTTCCTTAATAAGGCTACTCGCTGTAGTTTAATATGTTTTGACTATGCAGATATGCCTCGTCCGCCAGTGCTTCCGGAAAACAGGCGAAGGGTTGCGGAAGCATGCACACCCTGTAAAGCCGCCAAAAGACGATGCGATTCGAGGCATCCGTGTTCGGCTTGCCAACAGCGAGGGCTGATGTCTCAATGTCGCTACACTTCAACCTCTCGCCGGCGCCCGCGAAACAGTGCCACGCCGCAGAGGCAGATTGACCCCATTCAAGAGGGAGTCTCACAGGAAGCCTCATTGTCCGAGGTCACTGTCCTCACATCCGACCAGATCCTCCACAGTCCGCATGGACAGAGCGGTGGGTAGTCTCTGTTCTCCAGTCAACTGTATACCTGAGTTGCTTCAGCTGACGAACCAATGCAGTCTTCCTTGGGGACTGCGCGCCATTATCTTTCCTGCAGCTGTTGCGACAGGCGTTTGGACAGCACTTTATCCACCAGGAGGACACTTCGTCAGATGGCAGCCCTTCCACCCATCGCCTGATGCTTGAGGAAGACCTTGGTGGGCCTGACCTCCCTCTTTCTGCGTCAATCGATGTGGAGGATCTAGGAGAGCTCGTCGATGCCTTTTTTGACGCTGTAAGTATAGCGTAATCGGGATCGCTCCCATGACGTGTGGGATATGCTTATATTCTAGGCCAGACGTGTCGAGTAATAGAAGTCGATACCAGATCCGGCGTCCATGAAAGCCTGCGGCTTGCTACGCGAAAGGAGCGGTTTGAGATACGTGAACTACCGATTGATCTCAAACTCATCCTAGCCATCGGCGCCCAGTGCCGCTTGCAAAACGCGCAAGACAGGCAAATCTCGCAGGCGCTGTGGGTCGATGCTAAGCCTGACGTCCTGGGCACGATACTCCAGCCAGCCAGCGTTGATACGGTTGTACTGAATTTGTTAACCTCGTTCTATATGCTGGCCCGGTATCGCCGGAACTCTGCTTGCCTGTTCATCGGGGTGGCAGCGCAACTTGCACATGCCCTCGGACTACATAGGATTGCCGATGAGGAGCTGTCGTCTGTGACGTCGCATAAAGCCCGGTAAGATTGAGGCTGCCACAACGGGCCCCCATTCTAATTACTTGCACAGGGTGTGGAAGAGTATCCATATATTAGACACGATCTTCTGTTCCATTCTGGGCCGGCCATTCGTTACTGCGCACGTGTCAGTTCAAGACCAACTAGCACAGGCCACCGATCTTGATCAATCATTCCGATTGTCCACGATAGTTCGGAAGATGCTCGTAGGTATTTGTTCAAAGAAGCAGCTCAGCGTGGCAGATGCCGAGGAGGTCCTCGTCCTTCTCACTCGCTGGCGTGAGGACTTTGTCGCACAATCCAAGGAGAGTTGCGGTGCTCCTCTGACCAATATATCGTGCTTGTACTATCATGCGGTGCTCGTTACCACTCGGCCATTCCTGGTCTTCTCTCTCAAGGGCACCGAAGGCCCCGCTTGCTCTGAAAACGAACTCCTCCATTTAGGGCATCAAACATCTGTAGCGAGTCTCGCATCTGCATGCTTAGATTCGGCCATTTATATTATCCAAGCATGTCACGATGCCGTGGAAATGGGATTTGGCCTTGAGAACCCATGCTTTATCAAGTAAGACAACCACACGTTTATCCCAATACTCTTCCTTTCTTTCTGCTGAAACATTCCCCAGGGCTTGGACATTTTCTGCGGGTCTAACGCTGGCCTTTCGAATCTTCGCCCCCAACAACACACTTGCTGACATTGAAGATGCCTATCAACAGGCCTTGGCCATTTTAGAGCGACTGTCGCCCCAGAGCCCTCATGCACAGCAATATAGTCGGATATTGCGCGACATCCACGTAGCTGTTCAAAATAGACGAGAGAGACAGATTTTCCAGCGAAGGCAAAGCACCAGAATATTGGTGGACCGGATTTGCGTTGGAGAGGCCACGCCAGGACCAGACCCGCCGTCGACTACGACAGCAGAGTGGCTAGTGGGAGGAGCAGCAGCAAATTCCTTTGCCGAAGAAGAACTGCTGTCGATGGATCTGTTGGGGAGCTTTTCCTTCCCGTTTGAGAGTGAATATGACCTGGATATGCTCAGCTTATCTGGGTTGAGCACAGCACAATATGTCCGGGATAGCTAGAACGAACCCACGTTGGAGACCAGCTAGATATAACGATGGCGTATGTTGCTCCGCATTATAGCACAGGCTATGAGCAATAGTAAGTCGTTATCACGCACCTCGCCGGATAGGGGCCGGGAATGGGCAGGAACTCATCCGTAATGCTAGATATCGGAAGCCTCCGGGCAAAGTGCGAGTCCACTGCCTCAATTGGCTTTGTATATGTATTCCCAGTAATCTGTGAGTGTAAATCCATTCTTATACTTGTATTTTAAGCGCCATGAACAAACGCAACAGCTGCACTGTCTCCATCCCGACAGACCCGGTCGAGATCTCCATCGATTGGAGCGAAGAGGAAGAAGCTCGTGCCCGGCGAAAGTACACGAGACCCTTCCATTGCATTATATAGATCCCTAATAGTGCTACAGGGTTGATGTAGTCCTTCTTCCATGTTTTGTGCTGGCCTTCTTCGCTCTGCAAATTGACCGCGCCAACATCGCCAGCGCCCTGACTTCTACCATCACCGAGGACCTGCATATCACGACAAATCAGATCAACGTGGGCAACCAGCTTCTGTCGCTCGGTATTTTCCTCTTCGAAATCCCCTCAAATATCCTACTTCAAAGGGTTAGTTTAGGCTGGCCAGCATGACAAGTACTGGGAATATAACAGAACAACCAGGTCGGACCACGCCCTTGGCTGTCGATACAGATATGCGCCTGGAGTCTAGTTGCAACATTTCAGGCCTTTATCCAGAGCCATGGGGCCTTTCTCGCAACGCGATTGCTGCTCGGAATCATGGAGGCCGGCTTCATTCCTGGTGCGTATACCCCAGATGCCTTTTATGCAGCCCGCTCAGCTTCGCAACAGGCTCGCTTTATTACATTTCGAGCTGGTACAAGAAAAGCGAAATAAGTGTACGAGTTGCGCTCTTCTACCTCGGCCAGAACTTTGCCTCTGCAACATCCAGCCTTCTCGGGGCAGGCCTGCTCACTCTCGACGGCCGTGCCGGGATGGCAGGATGGCGATGGCTCTTCCTGGGTAAGTCAGCCTCCCTGCAGACCCCGACATCCTCGCCAGTCCTGATCGTTGCAGTCGATGGCATCATTAGCTTCGTCATCGGCGTCCTCTTCGTCCTCTTTATCCCACCACACAGAGGCAACGGCAACCCGCTGGTAACCTTCAACCGCTGGAGCTATTTCACCACCCGCGAGAGCCAGATCCTCAACGACCGAGTCCTCCTCGACGATCCCACCCAAGCAGCGACGGGGGCAATGCGGATTTCCACACGCGATATCGGACACACGATCCGTCGGCCGCGCATGTGGCTACACATCCTGGTATCTGTGACCAGCGTCTGCGCGGTACACAGCCTGATGACTTACGCACCGCGCATCATTAAGCTGTCTGGGTTCAGCACCGTCCAGTCGAACGCGCTGTTCTCCGTTGCACCCTACTTGGCCATGGTTATAAATTGTTCTCTGGCGTATCTTTCGTACGTGGTTTCCAGGCCAGGATCCGGTCCCGTAGGTAGTGCTGACAGGGCTACTTCTCCAGAGATTGCTCCGGCCATAGAGGCCTTCTCGCCCTCGTGGCCGCAAGCTGGTTGACTGTCGCAGCAGGATTTCTGACTTCCCTGGCCCACGTCTCGAAGTGGACTCGCTACGTGCGCCTAGTTATGGCCGGAACTCCCTACTCGGCGATCCAGTACCCAAGTCCCCGTCTCCCTCTTGCCCTTGCCCCCGAGTACTCACTAACGTGAGTCCCGCACCTCCAGTGCTCTCAATGTCGGCTGGATGCTGTCAAAGACAACAGGGCCGCAAGACCGCAGTATATCCTCAGCGTGAGTGGCGGCCGTGGTCTCCCCGTTGGTGTTGGAGTTGATGCTAAGTAGTGCTGGCTTGACTAACCGGGCCTCGCCCTCCACTCACTAGGCTCATCATCATGGCCTCGAATCTAGGTGGCATCCCGTCCGGGCAGATATTCCGAGAAGGCGATGCGCCCCTCTATCACCGTGCGTTCTCGGCTGTTACGGCGCTCGCGGGAGTCGCGTGGGTTCTCACTGCTGTGCTTTCCGGGTATGACTTGCGGCGAGGCAGGCGGAGGGAGGGGGGGGCGAACTGCTGAGTGACCATGGCCGTGAGGAAACGCGTATTCCTAAGGGCCTTCTAGTCCAGTGGGTGATTACTATGGATTAGTCGCGGGGCTATACAATCCATTCATTAAATGATTATAGTACATACGACCACAGGGTGTGGAAAACAGGGCTTCCCGTCCGCTCAGCCGTACTTAAGCCACACGCCGGCTGGTTAGTAGTATGGTGGGTGACCACATGCGAATCCCAGCTGTTGTATGTTTTTTTTTTTTATTTATTTACATTATGGCATCAATATCGGTAAACTATATATAGATACTTGAAATAAATTACCCCAAAGCCTAAAGCCAGGGGTTGGCGTGGGGGGAAATAATGGGGAAAACTGGTATCGTTGAAACGAATACAAAATATCCAAGTCTACCTGGTTAACCAACTGCCGAATGATTAGTTATCAGTTCAAGGCAACTAACTAAATAATGTTCATGTAATAAGGCTCATTCGCTAGTTAATCATCCATTGATATGCCACTAATGCGCTGTGCGTGAGGGTGGTGCCATTGAGGCCTCGGCATTCGGTTCTATACGACGTTACTGCGAGGGGCCGTAGCCGACCCGAGGACAGATTAGATAAATGCATCCTTGAGCTTCCTGTTCGCAATCGCTTTCCTCACTAAACTGACAACACCATAAACCCCATTCTAAACCATACCTCCATTCTGTGGAGTTTTGCCAACATGTCGTCGTCGTCCCCCTGCCTGGTCAACAGCCACAATGGCTACATCCCAGCATCGCAGCGAATCCCGGCCATGGCCCGGCCGTTCGTCAGCGAACGCGCCAAAAAGACCCTCGACCTGGTAGAGAAGTTCGTCGAGGAAGAATGCATCCCTGCCGATGCCATCTACCAGCAACAGCTGGGTCGCTCCACCGAGGAGCGCTTCAACACCCACCCTCAGATCATTGAGGATCTCAAAGCAAAAGCCAAGAAACTTGGTTTGTGGAACATGTTCCTTCCCAAGAATCATTTTGCCAAGCATGGCGCTGAGTATAGTAATCTGGAGTATGGGCTCATGGCTGAGTATCTGGGCCGCAGTCTAACTGCCAGCGAGGCGACAAACTGCGCCGCCCCAGATACCGGCAATATGGAGGTCTTCGCGAAATATGGCACCGAGGAGCAGAAGAAGAAGTGGCTGGTGCCATTGTTGGATGGGGAGATTCGATCGGGGTTCTTGATGACCGAACCGCAGGTTGCTAGTAGTGATGCTACGAACATTGAGCTTCGCATGACAAAGGACGGAGATCATTTCGTTCTTAATGGCCAGGTAATAACGCCATCACTTGTTTTTTTTTGTCCCTGCCATGCTGATGAAATTTGGTAGAAATGGTGGGCGAGCGGCACTGGTGATCTTCGGACAAAGGTCTTTCTCGTCATGGGCAAATCAGACCCGGCAAACCCAGACAAATATAAGCAGCAGACCGTTATTGCGGTATCCGCTGATACGCCAGGAATCACAACCAAGCGTATGCTTTCCGTGTTGGGTTACGACGATGCTCCCCACGGACATGGGCATATATTCTTTGATAACGTGCGCGTCCACAAGAGCAATGTCATCCTAGGCGAAGGCCGCGGTTTCGAGGTCGTCCAGGGCCGCCTTGGGCCTGGCCGAATTCACCACGCAATGAGATCAGTAGGAGGGGTAAGGGCTCTCTTTTTTTTTTTCTCTTCTTTAATCCATTTTTATATAGAGACCGGCACTAACGAGGTGGTCACTTTTCACAGGCGGAGAAAGCCCTGGAATACTTCCTGGCGCGGATCAACGATCCTCGAAAGAGGCCATTTGGCAAACAGCTGAGCGAGCATGGAATTATGTTGGAACGTATTGCAAGGTCGCGGATTGAGATCGACTCCGCTCGTCTCTCAGTGCTCAACGCTGCTATCATGATCGACCAAGGAGGCGCCAAATATGCGCTGAAAGAGATCGCCGAGGTCAAGGTGCAAGTCCCTGCTATGTTGACTGAGATTATAGACCGCGCAATCCAGGCACATGGAGCCGGTGGTGTGTCTCAAGATACTCCTTTGGCCAACATGTACTCAGGAGCACGAACGATGAGAATTGTCGATGGGCCTGACGAGGTGCATATTCTGCAGCTAGGCCGCAATGAAAACAAGCGAGGCAAGGCATTGCTGGGAAAGATTGAAGCCCAGAAGCAGAAGACACAATCCCTGCTCAGTCAGTACAAGGTGGAGCTAACCGATCCATTGCTGCTTGACCGGAAGTCATCAAAACTGTAGACTGGTCTTAGCTTTACCGGAACGGCATTTTTATTATCTTAACTCCATTTATTTGTCTACCTGTTAAAGTGCAAGTCAACTCATAGTGTACTACTATAATATTTGTATAGTTTAAGTAGGGCTGTACTTGCCTTGGTATAGTTGACGGTTTTGTCGAGAAATCCTTCTAAGTGTGAGTGGAATAGCTAGAGTACAAAGAGTAGACTCGTATCGCATCTAATGCTGTATTTCAGTGGTCACAATACCATCCATTACTCCATTTTCACCTCTAGTGAAAGCTGTGGTGAAGACTGCCTCTCTAAAGCGGCACCGGATCGGGCCGAATACGGAAGGGTTCCATAGAGCCCGTCATGGTCCTGGAAATTTCTCAGCAGAGTCATACTTCCTATTTCTCCTTTCTTCATATTTTCTAGCCTCCAGCAACCATGCCTCTTATCGAGTCTGATGCGGCCGGTTCGTCGGAGCAGCCTCAGCGATTGCCTTTCCCACCCGTCACATACTCGCACATCCTGCATTGTTCCTACGACTATTGGCAGCCAAAGTGGGCAACTCTCTTAACTCCGAATTTCAGCAGAAGTCAAGCCATTAACCTGCTCTATTTGCAATAGATACCGCGCGCTCGTACCGAAGTCCCGAATTATTCCCTTGACACCCGCTTTCGTTTCCTATCTCCATGCCGACGGAATCGTCCTCCCACCAGAAGATACCCCGCCAACCGACGATGACGATCTCGATGAGTTTTCAGATGATTCCGACGTCGAGGAAGAGTCAGACCCCTCGAAGGACTGGGAGGACATCCATTCCCAAATCAAGTCCACAATCGCAGAGTTAGACGGCAAAGTGACCCCGAAATTAAACTGGAGCGCACCCAAGGACGCCACCTGGATGGCCGCAACAAACGACATGCAATGCCGCACTCCCAATGACATCTACCTCCTCCTCAAAAGCAGCGACTTCATTACCCATGACCTAGAACACCCGTTTGATGACTGCGTTCCCGATACCTCCTACTCGCCGAGCCCTACCCCCAGTACCCCGCAGGTCAATTACAATCTCATCCTCCGCCAATACGTCAATTTCAACCCCTCACTTGAGTTCCGATGCTTCGTGCGCAACAGGGTGTTGCTATGTATGTGCCAGCGCGACCAAAACCACTTCGATTTTCTCTTCCCCATGCGCGACTCTCTCCGCTCTCGCATCCAGTCCTTCTTCGACGAAAAGCTCAAAGACACATTCCCAGACTCAAGCTTCGTCTTTGATGTCTACATCCCACCACCACACCAGCGCGTGTGGCTCATTGATATTAACCCCTGGGCAGAACGCACAGATCCGTTACTATTTAGTTGGCTGGAGATCTTGCGAATGAAGGACCCAGTCGGTATTCAAGAAGAGGATGACAGCGCTGAAGAACAGTTTGTCCGCCTGTCTCTCAACGGAAATAACTCTGATAATCTACACGAAGAAGCCGAAGGCGATACGTCTGAATCAGAAGAAGAAGGCGAACACATAGAGGATGATGACACACCATTCCTACCGGAATTCCGACTGGTCAAGCGTGACGATCCGGAAGCCTACGCCTTCTCGACACCCCAGTACTCCGCGCATAAAATGCCCAAGGAAGTTGTCGAGGCCTCGATTTCTGGCCCTGGTGGGATGAGTGAATTTCTGGGTCAATGGCAGGATATCATCGCGCGGCAAGCTCAGGAATCAGACACGGAGAGTGACCATTAACTTCTCATGACTATGCATGACGACATCTTACTTGGAAAATGGATATGAAATCACAAAGTTAGCATTTGACGCACTGGAGTACCTTGTTTTAGACGGCGTTTTGTTTACTGGATGGAGGGAAATGTGATTCTCAGCATAGCACAATTAAGAGGGCCCTTGGATCTGAAAGTCCATCTTTATTCCTTGAAACAATCCCTGCCCGGTATTACCTTGGGTGCCAACACCACCCGAAAACCGTATACATAACAAATCATCCATCTAAAGCTTATGTCTCTTCTCCCCAGTAGCCAGTTTCCTGAACTCCTCCTGGGGAATACCAGCCAAGAATCTTTCTAGCCCCTGGAACGCCTCAATCGTATTCTGGCGATCCATAATCTCCCGTCCAGGCCTACGAATCAACTCCTTGATCCTGAGCAATGAGCTCTGGCTCAAATGCGCACCCATCCGGTCATCAACCTCCTTCAAGACTTCACCCAGGAATCCCTCGGAATCATCTGGCTTCCCGCTCGGCGCCTTGATAACCTTGTTCACGAATCCCGCACTCACAAGCTCCTCGCACGTAATCCGCTTACTCTGAAGAAGAGCTTCGTTGGCCTTTGCGATACCTAGACGCTCCACGAAAGCAGTGGAGGCACCACCCTCGGCGACGAGACCCAGCGACGAGAATGGCGTGAGGATGAAGGCGTGCGGTGCGGCGTACACGAAGTCAGCCATTCCGACCAGTGCGGCGGAGAGACCGACGGCTGGCCCATTTAGGGCGACGACCAGGACCTTGGAGTGTCGTGAGACGGTGTTTGTTATGTCGATGTTGTTTACGACGAAGCTGCGGACGAGCTCGCGGCGGACGTTGGTGCCGAGGCCGGCGCCGGGGCGGGCGGAGGTTACATCTGCGCCTCTGTGGGTAGATTATACCGTTAGCAAATGTGACAGGTTCGATTGAGGTGGGGGTCGAGGTGAGAAGTACGCTGAGAAGAACCGTCCGTTCCCAGCCAGGACGGTGATAGTAATGTCATCGCGCTTGTCGACTTCACGGAGACGCTCGCCGAGAAGATAGTAGTGGTCTCCGGTGAGGGCATTGAGCTTCTTGGGGATGTTTAAGGTGATAATCGCAACGCGATCTTTGTAAGTGAGGGTGATGTCTTGTTCGGCGGTCATCTTATCTGCAGCTCCAATTACCGCTTTTGCTTGTTTTCTTGTGTTGATTGGGTTGGATATGCCCGGCGAATTTAACGATCGGCGGTTTGCTTAATGCTGCAAGGTAGGGAGTGTAAATAGAGCGATGGAGAATCAACCAGCAACTCTCCAGTATTATATGATAGCCGTTTACCGAGCACGGCTTCGTTGTCAGCTTTCAGACCCCAAGGAGCCGTGGCTTTTGCGGGGAGTGACCGACGAGCCGACGGAGGAGCCGAGGCCCAGTGGGCACAGCGGCGGAGCGCATATCTTTTCCCTGAGCAATGCCAAGGTCATGTCACTGCACGTGATTCATATTTGCGGACAGCCTGCTCGAAGGCTCATCACGTGACCCCAATAATCCAGGCCCTCTCATAGGCTGGCGGCATTCATCAAGTTTATCGGCCGGAGGAGCTTCGCGTTCAAGATCGGACCATCGATCAGCAAACGTCTGTCCAAACCCCGATAATCAGCAAGAAGCCACTCGAAGCCCACTCGGCGGTGAAACAAATTGCACCCGATTCCGAATCAGCATACACATTCTCGTCCATACGATCCTGTTCCGCGACTCAAATCGCCTCCGCCCCCGCCGTTTCAATTGACATCAAGAAGTCAACCCACATCACAATAATGTCCACCATCCTCCGCAGACTCCAAGGGGGCAACCTTGAAGTTGTCAAGGTACGACCGCCGCTTACCCATACCTCCAACATCACCAATCTCCTCAGTATATGCTAACGTATCCTCTCTCCAGTTCGGCATGTACGTGCTATTCCCTATCGGTTGGATGTACTACTTCGGAACGAATCTCGACGAGCGCTTCAGCGTACCTGGGTTCTGGCCTACCACAGAGCAGTCACATAAAATTCCGCTGGACAAGGAGGATATCGATAAGGAGCTGGCGCGCATGCGCATGGCTGATTCCGTGAAGCGGGAGCGCCGGGAGCGAGAGAACGAGATTCAAGCGCAGGCTCAAGCCCTAGCGCAGGCGCAGAGTGGACAGGGTTCAAATTCAGAATGAAGTGACGGTTTGGTTGGTTGATATTTTGGGTTGCCATATGGACACGGGGCTCAAAAGTTCTGAGCTGGTGAAAATCCGAATCCACCTCATCATGCTGTTCGGAACGGCTGTAGTGGCTTTTTTTTTTTTTTTTCCTATGGTAAATTGTATATTGGGAGTTCTTGGTCTCGGTTGCGGGTGAGCTACTTTTGTACAGTATGTATAATTGCTCGTTGTACTATTACACTCTTCTCTGAGCATCTTATGGAGTTGCTATTGGATTTGACAAGGATTCTTGATACTCTGAGTATTATTCTTACATTGTTTTTTTTTATCAAGAGGTGCACTCCAAAGTTATTTCACCTCAAAACGTTACTACCAGCGGGCATGACAGTCTAATCCTTCAAAACTGCAGCGACAGCAGGATTGAACGTAATGTTGGACCATACTCGAAAATTTACCAACAAACTGCGCTTAACCTCCCCTGATAAACAGCCGTTAAAGTGAAGTCAAAAAATATAGTATAACAATAGTCAGCTTAATGCTATTAAAAACGGAAGAAGAAAAAACCGAAACGCCTGGGACAAGAGCACCGTCTGCACGACTTTTCCAACAAAAGATAGCATTCCCACAACGCCAGGAGGAAATCGAGCAAGATTCCGCTTTAGGTCTATGGATGGTGATCATGCAGCTGAAGCTGCAGAAATTAGGGGCACGGGTATTGGGAGAGGGGGAAAAAATTAGCGAAATCAAACAGTGTATAAGTCACCGACTGTATCACATCGACAAATGAACTGGCCCAAAGTTCGCTCGCTACCGACAACGACGGAAGCAAGAGTAACATTTTGGGACAATATTTATGAGAATTGAAAAGAGACTTCCGGGTATTACAACTCCGGAACCGTGGCTGCTGCCGTCGCGGCTGTATTCTGCGCCGTCTCGTACACCATCTCTAGAGTCTGCGTGGCACCGTCACGGAATACTGTACTGATAGCTGCGATGCCGTTTGAAACGAATGGACGCTCGCCAACCCAGTAGTAGTAAAGGTGGCCGTATATTGTGCGGAGATGGTCGGGCAGATAGACGTAGATTGCGGTAAGGATCATGGAGAGAAGAGTAAGAATAATCGAATCTAGTGGTTGCAGAGTCAGTAAATGTAATTGAGAAGATTGTAAAGAGCAAGACATACTGAAGATGAATTTTTCCGTCGGGGTAAGCATGTATACGGCGAAGGTCACCTCATACTGATAGATCTTGAGGCGAATCCAGCGCACAAACGCGGCTGCTATCCAGAGAAGAGTCATTGTTTTGAAATCGTTGACTGCGTGGTGTTTAGGTGTTTAGGTGGAGCGATACAGTGCGAGGTGGTTGTATCTGAGGTTGTGGTTGCCAGGACCCTCGGGGCGTAAGTGTGAAAAGGGGCAGTTTGCGCGGGTGAATCCTGATAAGAAGGTGCAAAGTTGAGAACCAGTAGATCAATTGTTGGCTCAGTTCGACAGCATGGTACTAATCGGATCGCAAGGGCAGGCTGAGGAAATCAGCAGAAACAAAGCGTCGAGGTGGATAAGGACGATGAAAGATTGCGCGTCGATCGTGGGTTGATCCGTTCTGAGGTTTCGGATGCGGGGAGGCGACTCTGAGATTGGAGGGTGTGAAGGAGGTTTCAGGCCGAGGGCGAAAAGGAAGTTAAAATACAAAATACAGGGTGAGGTGCATTATTGGAGAGTTTAACAAAATTAACAATGGGTGATCTGGTTCTGGACTATCTGCTAAGAATAGTGGGAGTTAGTTGAAGTCGAGGTGTCCAGAGCCAGACTGCCAGTGGCTCTCAGCATCGGTCCACTTCAGGGTCCTGTCAACGATTGGTGGTGCCACTACTCAGTGTGGAAGGGAGGAGGTAACTTAGTCCACATGTCAACGAGCATCTCTGACCAAACTCTTAGCTTAACCTACTATGAACACGCTCTCACGGGCTCATCGTCAGATTCTGGATGACCCCCATGTCAAAGCATACGTAACCCACCCTTGGCGCAACCACATCCAACATCCCAAAGACCAACGAGGAAACACACCTCAGAGCCCGAGGTAGATAGCTTAGATAGCTGTACTTTACACCAGCAGAAGAGGAATGTATACCTTTATACTCTGTAGATGGCTGAAAATGCCCACGAATGTTCCCGAGTTCCTAAATTATTTAAGCTGCGCTCAACTCCGTCTTTTATCGCGATAAGAATCCGCGACGCCCAACCAAAGCCAACGCTTCTCCCCACCTTATCCTTAGCATGAAGCCGCTGCAGTCCCGGGACTTTGGAGTATCAACCTCAGACTAATCGATCTCCGATAAGATGAATTTAATCGCCTGACAACGATCATGGTCCGTCCAATACGACAACTACTGCTGCCCATCTCCAACATCTCCAACATCGCACTCATCCCCCGACCTCCTATCCGCATTTCCACCGTGCTCAATCGATCCATCTCCGCATCACCATTCCTCTCCAATAAACCCCTCCCTCCGCGCCTCAAGCTCGACGATGCCGACATAACACTCTCTTACCTCAAGGGCTCAGGCCCCGGGGGGCAAAAAATTGTATTTCTTCCCCAATTCATCCAAGCCCTCAACCCGACCACGGCTAACACTACCCGTCCTGGCCGCAGAACAAAACAAATTCCGCCGTGCAACTAATTCACCAGCCGACCGGAATCGTCGTGAAATCTCAAGCCACAAGATCACGAGCGCAGAATGAGAAATATGCGCGCCAAATTCTCGCTGATAAGGTCGAGCAGGCCCTGAGGGGTGACCAGAGTCGTGTCGCGCTGAAGGCAGATCGCGAGCGGAAGAAGAAAGCGAGCAAGGTAAAGAAGAATCGGAGGAAGTATCGGGAGTTGGAAGACGGGAGGACTGCGGAGGAAGGAGAAGGGGAAGAAAAGGAGGGGAAACCAGTGTCAGTTGGGGATATTGAGCCTACGGCGAAAGGGTCAGAGTGAGTCGCTCACGGAACTTCTATACCTACTGCAAAGTCCTGCATCCCCGGTCTGGGACATGTGCTAGGCTACGTAACCTTAGTATATGCTACGTGCGTATATTTTGAGATACTGTACAGTACAGCATTGTTCTCTATCAGAAATTTGGTCCCATATAGATGAAGGGACAGGCATTGATATTCTGCACAATAGCCTCCTATCTAGAGATGATATATTTCACGCAATATAACTGCCAAGCACTGCCTTCGCCTGGTCCCCTAATCTCTCCTGGGCAAATGCTGAGATTCTCCCACCGTGCTTTTGGTCTGCCTCCTTCAGATATTTCCCAACCCAGAGCTTAAGGTCAGCACCCGTATCAGGCCAAGGGTCTCTGACCTGTTGCCGTATGGTGACAAGAGCTGTGAATCCAACACCAAATGCCATGTCCTCAACGTCATGCTCAGCAATAACATCGTCCTTGCTAGCAGGCAGCGGCGGGAGCTCCAAGAGTTTCAGAAGGGCTTCGCACGTGAAACCCCACCCCTTCTTATACTTGTTCGCAAAAGCTTCGGAGTTGGAAAGTGTCTTAGTGAACGATAGCACAGCGGTTTTGCGGTCCAGTGGGCGCGCAAGCTTTTGTGATTCAGGCAGAATGACGTTCAGGTATAATTGAACATACAGGCTATTTGTAGTCAATATCTGACCGGATGACAGGAATCGGCCACAAGACTTACCCCTCTTGTACTTTGTCGACAATTTGGATTACGAAATCGGCGCTGTATCCCTTGGCATCATTGGCGCACATGAAGTGATAGAAACGCACGAATCGGAGCGTAAGACTCTCTGTCTTATGGTTCTGAAGGCGTGTGAGGATGATCTGCATGATATCGCCAAAGAACGGTTCGAGTGCAGCCCTGTAAATAGCGTTAGAGAAGTGCGCTAATTGCATCCTTCAGTAAACAACGTACGATGGAAAGTGCTCAATCACAGCCTCCAGGAGATCAAATCCGTAGCTTTCATTTGTCTTCGACGAGAGTAACTTCTGGAAGATACCAAGCGTGTTGATAAGCTGGTTGTTTTCTAGAATAAATTGGGAGCCCCGGCTAATGATCGACGACAGAAGTCGCACGAGCGCGGGGATATTGCCCTTGGACTCCCACACTTGAGGTGCAAGAATAGGGGCAATGAGGCTCTGGTAGTAGGTTGGCAACGTTCCCGATGGGTTGGCTTCGAGAAGGGCAGCGAAAAGCTGGAAGATGTACGGGACAAATTCTAAGCCCATGTCAGCATCATCTGTCAACTCTATTGTACATAAATCCAGCCTACCTTGTACATCTCCCTGGAGGATGGCGGAGAAAGGAGGGTAGAGAGCCTGCTCAAGTTTATCGGGGTTCGCTGGAGCAGCGTACCTATGACAGTTAATAAACGGCAGGATAGCATTATCCGAGAGCCTGAACTTACCGAATAAAAGCTCCTATAGTTTCAAAGTGATAGTAGTAAAACCGCGGGTTACTCGGGTTGCTAGCTATCACTTGAGTGATGTCGATCAAATGCTTCAGCACATTATCAGTAATAGGGACTACAGCCTCTTTTATCACGATCAAAACCCTCATGGCGCACTTCATGATAAACTCATTCTCTTGCACTTTTTGAGGAGCCGGGTCCTTCTGAATCAAGGAGAAAATATGCTCCAATAGGTCTTTAGCAAGAGGCTTGATCGTGTCTGCTGAGATAATGGGCTGTCCTTGGTTGTCGGTGAAATATAATACGCGTTCAACTGCAATGGCAGAGTACGTGTAAACAACGAAGTTGGAAGAAGCAAGGTGATTGACCAATAATGGAAGCACTTCTTGCCACTGTTCCTTTGTCACGAGGCTGCGGAAAAGGTAGAGATACTTGATAGCATCAACCTTGAGAATCGGGTGCAAACCATCCCCAGAAACCAAGTCGGCGGCGAGGTGTTTTTGGAAATAGTCAGTGATGCTTATGAGGCTATTAGTAGTCGTGATTCCGTGGCTGGCAGTTGCAGCCCCCTTCGCTGCGATTGCAATAAAAAGATAGGTCGCGGTATCCTTGGCTTTCCAGTTCAGCTGCGGTGATTTCGTGTACTCGTTCAGGTAGTGATCAATGTATTGCAGAACAGCCTTTGTCACCGAACCTTCAAAGTTGGCGTTCAATTGCTTCAGGAAGTCTGTAGCAGCACGCCGTCTTGTGTCGCTGTCTGATCCCTCCAGGTCCCGCCGGATAAACTCAATCGGCTCATCCTCGAACAGTTCCTCATCTGACTCACGGAGGCTAACATTTGGCAAAATGACCTTTTCAATGACTTGGGCCAATGTGCCTTCCGCTTGGAAAACCTGTGCATGTTGGGGCATGCCGGCAATCGAAGTCAAGAACTTTAACGCCCGACTAACAAGGATGTCATACTTTGTTTCCTGCCCAATTGTAGTCAGGAAATTCCAGGAGCTCTCCACGAATTGTTGGATATGCTGTTGGAACTCGTCCCCATATTTCTGTACCCAGAGCGTCAGGACCTCAAAAATGCCGGCACGAGTAAATTCTAGTTGGCCAGATTCGGTATCATCATCAGTGTGAAGCAATTGGTTGTCGTATGTTAGATATTTGAGTAACAGCTGTGCAATCCCACTCATATTTTCTTCGAACATTGGAGGGAGGTCATGGCAAGAGAGGTCGTACATCAGCTTAATCATCAAATTAAGTTGAGTGAATCCTTGAACAAGCTGGTCTTTGCTCGACTTGTTCGCTTCGAGATACACATCGAGTCCCTACATATAACTGTTAGCACGGTCGTGGGTTGCCGTTGTGGTGGGAGGAGAAGGGATACCTGGAAAAGAGTCAAGAAAGGATTACCGAATCTCTCAAGGACGTGGTTGATTTCAATGTAAAGTTCATCGGAGCGGAAAAGTGGCCTCCATCTCTTGAAAATCGAATGCGCAACTTGCAAGACACCGATGTTGGCAGCGGGATTCTCGGGTTGGAGTTTTGAAACGAGGTCCTGGGGAAGTTAGTTTAGCAAAGATTAGATATGAAGCTAACTGAATGCCAAACTTACGTTAACAAGCGTATCCCACCGTTCCCAGAAGTCACTATCAGCGATTACGCTAACAGCTTCTCCTAATTGGGTTTGAATACCCTGCGGTACGGAGATCATCAAGTTGATGAGCTCTTGTTTGATCGTACCCACTACCTCCTGTGGGAGCTTGTAGTTTCCATCTTCATCGGTCCAATTCCTTTTGATGAAGTTCTTGAAGAACAGCGCACTTGCCAGGCGAGTGTTGTATGGGTAAGATTCGGAGGCGGTGATTTGAAGAAGCGATATCGCAAAGTTTGGGTTACTCTCTTCTTGACGAAGAGCGGATTCAGCTAGTACAAGTCAATATCAATTTTAAAAAGCGAGTCATATGATTAGAAATCTGCGTGTTCACCTTGTTTATTCTGTCTGGGGTCCAGACTCGCTGCGAGGAGCTGGGCAACGGCCCCAAGACCATCCGCCATTGTTTGGAGGGGCGATGTGTATTAGCAAAATAGAGAAAGATGCAGGAACAACGGGTGGCCGTTGGAACGTTTGAGGTTTGAGATGAGACAAATTCTGGTACCTCTACCAGGGTCTAAGTTCTCTTTGCAGAAACAATGATGTGCTCAACAACAAAAATAGAGCCAAAGGCAAGCTTAATTCCTGGACAGGCAGTTTGTTTGGCGGTTGCTTTGGAATTATTTGTAGGCGGTGAGCAGAGGTCCGCGGGGTGATTCTGCCAGTCAGGTGACTTCCTTCTGCGGAATCAAACTCTTCCGAACCTCCGCCAGATCAGCGGCCAAACCGGTGCGGAGGGGAAATGCCCTCTTGGCGGAGCTCCATTGATGATTCAAGCCTGAAGATATCTCGTTCTTTCCTCCCTCGCCTTAGAGTGCTATCTATAAAAGGGTTGGTTTCTCGCAGGCGCCCGGTGTTAGTCTGTCTTAACGAGTGCAAATTTCTTTCTTTCTTCATGTGCTGGCTCGTCGACACAGCCTCTCTTGGGTGCTTTGACTCTTATCTCTTAGCATTGGGATTCAAGCCTCATCTTCTTTCAACCTCCTAATGTTACCGAGCTTCCCTTAACCGCTCTACATGGTACGTTTGTATGGGTGCTCTAGGAGACTCTGATCCTGGAATGGTCTGCCGCATCCAACTCTTCCCACCCTTTTCCCATGACGCCATTTAAAGCCTCTTATCGCTAATCAACCCGCTCTTATCCAGCTCCTTATATAACCCTTTTGACTCATTTGAATCGCCCTATATATCCCCACCCGTCCACCGGGACGCATGCCTCCCGACGATGCTTTATTTCCATCCCGTTCTAAGTATTCAACATCCAGCTTTGCGGGCGTCTTTAGATCATTAAGTGCCTCCCGAGCGAAATCGGTTTCGTCAACGTCACTGCCGGATAGCGGTGACTCCTTTCCCCAGCACACAGATGGCCACACGGGCTCTTGGGGCACAATAGGGATTGACTCAATGCATCGTGGAAGTGTCGTGTCGAGCTCCTCGGATGCTTCGGGGACGCGGGATTTTGAGTCGTCTGTCAAGGTGCTAGCGCAACAGCAAAACCTCGCCCATGCCAGCGACGAAGCAGAACAAGTGGCCAAGTCCTTTCAATTTTATACCCAGGAGCAAGCTCTAGCGCTCTGGGAAGCTGGGTCCCACCTGATACACCAGGCGGGGTCTTCCGAGGCTCGGCGCAGCGGCTCCCTTCTGCTGGTATCACTGTCAAGCCGCCAAGATCTTTCTCCTGCAGCCCGACGCACAGTGTTTGAATCTATTTCGTCGTCCTCTGAGCCCGACGTTATACCGGCTCGCGCTCAATCCCTAATATCCTTGTCAGATCATGGCAGACGATTAGAATTTGCTTCCTCGTCTCTCCTACCTCTAATCTCCTCATTTATCGTCCCGTTATACGAAGTCATCTCCTCGGCTAGAGCGAAGGCAAGAAAAGCTAAAGTCGGAAAAGCGAATGGACTTGCATACGAGGATACTGTCTTAGACGACCTTCTGCAATTCGCGGTTGATCTCATCACACTGCAGCGGAAGCAGCCAGAAAGCGATGAAGTCCAAGAACTATTGGATCAGATTTTCATCATTTGCAGAAAGACGAGCGTTGCCGCTGATATAAAACATGCTCTGGCTGTTTTCGATGCAGTAATCCTCTACGGGGATGTCCCTGAGGGGAGTTTTTCCCCGATGCTTGAACTACTCTGTAGCATTCATGCGTCCGTAAGATCTCTTTCTGGCCCTACCTCGAGGGCTGTTCGGAATCTGGCAAAGTCAAGACGACAGGCAGAAATGGTTACCACACTTCATTCATTCCTACACAATTCAACCGGAGAGCACAGCCAAAACCTCAACGTCCTGCGCGGGGCGGTTTACGCTTTCGCCGACCTTATCCGCGCGCATGGCCAGGAAGGAATAGTCCAACTTGAGTTCGAGCCTTTGATAAATTCTCTCAAAACCGTTGTTCAAAAAAATGATGGGCGACTAGAAGCGGACGTCTTGGAGCTATGTTTAAACACGCTGGAGGGAGAGTTTGCCCAGGTAACATTGGGACAGGACTGGCGAGGGTTTGTCAACGTCCTTAACGCCTGTTCCAGTAGGATTATTGAAGAGCCTGAAGCCAGTGCTCTGCCCACTCTCGGCCCAGAATCGGCGCATTCAAGGGCCAGTGTCATTGACGATGTTAAACCCAACATTTTATCGAACATTGTTCAGATAGCATCTGCTGTTGGATCTCTCTGGGAAAACTTGAATGGGCAGCAGAGACTGGAGATCACGAACTTTCTCTCCAATGTTTGTCAACACATTGAGCCAACCCAGGCCGAGTTGATACTCAACACCATGAGAACCGAGAAGCTCTGTGACCCCCAAACCTCGGGGTGGGCTCAGAGTTGTCAGCAAGTAGTCAATTACTTCATTCGTGACCGGAGTAAGCCGGCCGAAACTCGAATCGTGGCTCTGGAAACATTGAAGGAGGCTTTTACTAGCTACGAGTCCTTGGCTCTCTTCCAAAAAGAAGGCCTTCTAGATCTTATGCTAGAAGGCTTCACTGATGAAGATAGCATTATTTTCCTAGAGTCCCTAATTTCCTTCCTCATCGACAATGTTGTTCCTTCCTGCGATGATACTACTTTCAAATCCTTGGTTGATATCATCAGTTCACCAATGACTAAAGATGTGAGCACGGAAGAGCCCAACTCGCTTCCGGTGTCCCCAGCAGAAGATCGGTCATCGAGTTTCACGTTGGAGGTCTCCTTGGCCAACATCTGTTCTGTTGGGCTCGTGCGAATGTTTTTAAGGTCACTCCACCAATCGGCATCCAAAGCAGTAATGGTCTATGAAGGCCTTTTGAGGATAGCTGAGTCTTCAGATCGACCTTTAGACGCACGCTTGACCTCTCTCAAAGTGCTTTTTAGACTGCGCTGTGATTCCTCAGGCTCTATCATCGTTATCTCGGTCCCTGAAGATGACTTTAGGATGAGTATTTCAGGCCGCAGCATTGATCCAAGTTCGTTGGCAAACGATCCGGAAGACCCAGCTGGAGATAACAACGCAGATAACGATTCTGGCGTACCAGTGCCTCTAAGAAGGTATCCGGTCCGCGGGTCATCGTCCAGTGCTTTGTCTAGATCTACCGGGCGTAGCGTCAGCTATTCCCAGCGTGCGCCAAAGTTATCTCATCCTGTATGGGCTGTTACTACCCCGCAAGTCCTACCCGAAGAACCTCCAGACGGTTCCAGCCCATTCTTATACGCCCATGCAACACCTAACGCGCCAAACCAAGAAGATTCCGAATCTGCCGAAAGAGTCGCTTTCAAAGCAAATGTGTGGCTCGAAACAATCATCATGCTGCTTCAGCGTGAAACGAAGTGGGACATCTACAGTTATGTTCTCACCCACCTATCCCCTCAGCTCCAGAATAAGGATCTCTTTAATACTGCTGTCCCTCAAGTCAAGCTACTGCGCAGCATCTTGTGTGATCAGATCAAAAACGATTCCTTCCGTGAACCGCCTGTGAACACCGGGGTTAAGAAATCCGATGTGGCTGGCTACATATTTGATTCTCTATGCGTACTAATAAGCTACCATGAACATTTTGCAAAAAGTGAAGAGGACGAGCTTGTACGATCATTTATGATGGGGATTATCGGGTCTTGGGGCAACACATCCCGCGGGTGCATCCACGCCCTCTCTCTCTGTTGCCATGAAATCCCTCTTTCAGTCACAAAGGCTCTAAACGGAATCTTTGACAAAATCTCTAAAGTCATTACATTATCCAATCTTGCTGTCCACATATTGGAATTCTTGGCACTCCTTGCACGACAACCCGAAATTTATGTCAACCTGCGAGAGGAGGAGATTCGTACGGTGTTTGGTATATGTATTCGGCTTGTGCAGACTTCACGGGAGCACAGGCTGAAAAATTCCGAATCGCCGACAAGAAACCCACACGGTACCACAAGAACTGGCAGCGTTGTTCGCGAGGTCGCAGCGCTTCCCGGCAGCGACCCATCGGACACGTCCGTTCAGGATGCTATGTCCAGATATATCTATACCTCGACGCACCACGTCATGGTATTTTGGTTTTTATCGTTGAAACTCCAAGACCGCCCAAAGCATGTCAATTGGATAACTAGCAGGCTTATTTTCGCTGATGAACATGGGAAAGAGACAGTGGAAGAGCAAAGTCAAGTGTTCCTTGATTTAATGCAAAGGGTCGCATTCTCGGATCTGGGTGAAACTATTCCTTTTGCCACATTCCCGCCTTCACCAGAGGATGGGCCAGCGGTAAAGAAGTCGTGGATTGTAGGCATGAGCATCGTCACCGCGGAGACTGCTAGTGTCTCAGGGTTGACTCAAATTACCAAGAGACAAGCATCAGGTACAACTTATGCAATGTACCAACAGCGCACTGCACCTGTCCTTCCCCATCAAGTCCCAGCGACTCATTATGCGCACCTGCATCCAGACAACATGAGTACCAGCGTTCTACCAAGTCACATTATGCTCCAGTTGACATCGACAGCTTTCCCTACGCCCGTTACAATCCAGCCAATTCCACTACCAGATGACGACATGACACGTCGGGCGCTGAGCACGTTTGACCGGAATGATATTGTGGATGGTCATAAGATTGGTGTCATATATATCGCCGATGGCCAGACTACGGAGGCGGAGATTCTTTCCAACACTGTCGGCAGTCCCGATTATGAGTATTTCCTCTCGGGCCTTGGCACCAAAGTGTCGCTCAAAGAAGCCAGGTTCAATACTCAAGGTTTACATGCAGAAACAGACGGAGAATTCACATATGCCTGGCGTGACCGGGTGACTGAAATCGTTTACCATGTTGCGACGATGATGCCAACCAACTTCGACAGCGATCCGTCCTGTGTCCTTAAGAAGAGTCACATCGGGAATGACTTCGTCAACATCATTTTCAACCATTCCAACACCCCGTTCAACTTCAACACCATACTGTCGCAGTTTAACTTTTTCAATATTGTCATCAGCCCTGTGGCTCGGCTCACGGAAGAGGACAAAACAGGATCTTCACGGACATCTAATCCCGAGAACATGTTCTACTCCGTGAAGGTAATGAGCAAACCTGGTTTCCCTGACATTTCGCCTGCTGCTTCACCGAAAGTTATTTCGGGCAAAAATCTCGCACCGTTCGTACGCATCCTAGCACTAAATGCTTCGGTTTTCTCCAATGTCTGGAACAGTCAGGGTGAGCATATTTCATCCTGGCGCAACAGGTTGCGTGAGATCAAAAGGCTACGTGAACGAGTAATGGATTCCCAGTCTCAGAACCCTAATAGCCTAGATGCCACTTATCCGACTCAACGCCGCAACACCAAGGCCAACATATTCTCGGAAGAAGTGCCGGTACGTACGAGTGTAGGGAGGTCTGAGTTCTCTACCGAGTGGAACGCAACAGCGGACTCGAACATTCTTCAGAATCTCGACTTCACCCGCTGGGCAAGATGAAATAATGTCTGAATATGGTCCTTTCCCGCTGTGTCCACAGCGTTTCTTATGGAGCCATTTGTTCCACGCTCTCGTTCATATTCATCTGCTCGTTTTCTATACCCCTATCTTCATTTTATCCTTATTTTTAAGCCGTCTTCATTTGCGTGCACGCCGGGGATTATGGTAATACATCTGATCATGCATCTAATAGAGCCATACTGTGTTGTGTCGTGGTCTGTCTCCACACGTTGATTGTTCCTTTTTTACTCATGCCTCTTTTTTGCCATGTATACCTACTGTACAGGAGTTGGACGGGGCTTGAGAGCGGTGCCAAATGAAGCGATACGATAAAAAGTCGATTTATGATGGAAACGACGGAACCCAAAAGTTTGTGTTTTGATATGACTTGATGACAGCGGCTGTTATTTCCTTGTCTGGTTTCTACATGTGATATCTCAAAAAGCGGGCGCTTGTATGAAGTTGAATAGATGAATGTAATCCTACTAGGAAATAAATAGCCAATGGATTGATTCAACTACAAGGGAATTAGTATTGTGTATATGCCATGGCCCGCTGGCTAGACTATTGGTACCGAGTTTAAGCAATCCCATGATCGGATCGGGTGAAAGCATTCATATGACTTGATTATATTGTTGTCAAAGTCTAATGATGCGATATAAATAACAGTACAAAAAGAAGACACGGACCGAAAAAAAAAAGTTTTCTATATATACATTAGAATTATCCCCTCTTTTACTATCCTAGGCGACGGCACATATAGATGTATGTCTGCATATAAATACCACTCGCCACACACTCCAAGTGAGCATGTCTAGGCCACTCTTGTATATAGTCTTGCCGTACTGCCGCTTTGGCCGGTAAGTAGGACACTTTTACCAACCGAAAATCTCGCCTATACTCAAGGTACTCCACCGCACACCGGCAACAGAGAACAGAATGAGGACGACATCCACGACGCCCAGGACAAGAGCGCCGAGCATGAATCTCGGGTTAAAGATCCGGTAGAGCATAAGGTGGCGGCGGAGGTGGCCTGCCCACATTGTTGTGGCGAGGTTGATGGTCGCAAAGTATAGGACGTATGTTGCCGAAGCTTGTGCGACGTCGGAGAGGAGCTTGAGGGCCGGTTTGTTGGAGGCGGAGTTCTTATCGTGGAGCTGTAAGGGCCGCTTCCAAAGAGCTGTGAGTGGAACGGCAATTGCGGCGAGGATTTGGGCCCCGAAGGTGTTCAGGATGACGAGAAGCGGGGACCAGGGGTATTTGACCGTTGTTAGAGGGATGAAGGCGGTTTCCCACTGAACACTACTTATGGTGGCTTGGTGGCCAGTTTTGAAGTAGTAGAAGGAGCCCAGAAGGCCTAGGACGACAGGACCAATGGCTGAGTTACTTGTTACCAGTGAATTTGTATCAAGGATTTCGAGGAGGGAGAGGATCTGCCAGAGGAGGAGGCCCATGGCGCCTTGGCCCATGGGTTTCTGCATCAGAGTTATAGCAAGGCAGAAGTTGATGGCAAGGAAGAAAAATCGGGTGCCGTGAACGTTGCCGAATCCAAGGATTGTGACGGTTGTCCTTGGCACTTGTTGCTCGCCAGGAGAGGGCCGCCTGGCTTCCGGCTCTGCGTTGTTTTGTGCGACATCGATGCTGACGCAAGGCTTCGAGTAAATGAACGCGGTTGTGCCGGCAGCGAATGCAAGGCCGAGAACAAGCTGGGCTAAGAATACCCGGATTGACTTCAAAGTTTCACCACGGAGAGGTAACCAGTCTTTGCCGTCGAGTTCCTCGAGCACCCAGAAGATGGAAGTAACGAAAAGCCCTAGGCGGAAACCAAGGCCAATCCATAGGCTGGCTGCTCCTTCATATGATTTTGATCCAGCATAGAAACCCTTGATGACAGTTGGTAAAATAAGCGTTATGAGAAACGGAATAGCCAGCTGCCACGGAGCGGAGGTAGAGGATGTGCTAGATGCATAGTAAGTTGAGCGACAGAACGGCATTTGCTCCTCGCGACAAAGGCGAGATAAAGATCCTATTCTTCCAAGCAGGACGAAGACGATCGAATGATACACTCCTAGGACCCTGTCCGTGGTCGTTTGCTGGCGCATCGATGAGATACCAGAAACAACGCCGAACGTGCAGAGAAAGAATAGCAGGATCTCATCCTCCCATATCGTATACGAGTTGGACGCGAAACCAACAGACTGACTAACTGTGAAGATAACAGCCAACCAGCCCCAAATTGAGTTTGGAAGAGGCAACGACAAGCGCTGAGCACCAAAGAAAATGGCTGACGAGGCACCGAAGATGCTTCCAACAGCTGCAAGAAGCGCTGATAATTCGGGAACTTTCATCTCAGTTACTCCAAGAATAGCCAATGAAGCCCCGACCACAGCGCCCAATACCGATCCTATTCCGGCGCGCGAGAGGAATGGACCTGTGAGTTCTGTTCGGTCACCATGCACTCCGCGAGCATAGAACACCAGTAAAACAATGCCAGCAAAGAGTATTCCAATTCCTTGAATCATGCTTGGCACATCAAAGCTGGCCCATAGTTCCCTGCAGATGTGGAGAGTGTGCCGCTGATATTGCCTATAAATTTCGTTGATTGAGGCCAACTTCTTCGAGCTGGCCCAGCTGCTATGATCCTCCCATTCTTTTTCCGCTGCTTGCCAGTATTCAATGGACTGGGACGCCTCGCCATCGCTTCCATCGCGGGTTTGAGCATAAGCATGCTGATAGCGCTTTATCTGGGCAGAAGCCAGGCGGTTGACTGCAACTAAATTGTTCCAGTCATTGCCACTAGGTCCAATGAAGGCTTCCTCGATTGGAGATCCGAGGTTATTGTATGGGATGGGAATCCCAAGGAGCAGCGAAAGGGTTGGTACAAGATCAATCTGAGGGACGAATCTGTCCCGGGCGTGCTCTGGCGGCAAAACGGCTTCTTTACTGGTACGGCCGAACACCCCCCTCTTAGAATACATCCACAAAGCAGCATCGACCTCGTCATTCGATTCGCCACCGTGGTCTCCCTTTGAGTCCATTCCATGGTCTCCCATCACTACTAACAGCGTGCTATCGTCGATCTGGGCCATTATTTCCCGAATTTCTCGGTCCATCTGGTTCAGTTTCGCTGCCATGGCGGGATGGTTTGGACCATATCGGTGGCCAGCGTGATCGACACCGAGATAGTGTCCGAATATCACATCCCATTTCGTGTGATTCTGAGGTTCCAGGAGAGGGAATAAGTGTTCCTTCACGCCATTATCAACCGTATGCAAGTCCCACACATTGAACGAATCAAACGGCCGAGTAAGATTGGGGTTAAAATATCCGGGGAAAAGCGCCTGCCAGGTGTCATCGCCGAGCTGAACAATACTTTTCCCTGCCGCGTGAAGTTGAGCAACGATATTGTCTTCGTCAATTGCTGTTCCCGCAAAATTCGATCCCGCGTCGACAAATGTAGGAAGAGTTCCTGTGGTCAGTCCCTTTAGTCGTTGTAATGTTGTAGTTGGCGGATCGGCGATGAACGGTAGGAGAAAAGCGTTTTGAGGTGTTTTAACCGCAGTCTCATACAACACTGGGATGTTATCGTGGAAAAGATGGGCCTCGTCGGATTCTGAGTTTGGTACAAACGGGACCGTAAAGTCGTAGCGTAAAGCGTCAATTATGATCACAACCGCCTTGTCAAATGACTTTTGGTGCCAGCATTCATTGTGCTCCGACTGCTCCGGTGAGATCGAGGACGAATCGCCAAAGGGAAGGACATCACAGGAAGACTTGTTCTCCAGGACCATTCGAGTGAGAAGAAAGCCCTTGGTGAAGAAGAAAATGCCGACAACATGCAAGAACCTATTCAGCGAGCCGATGTTAGAATTTCACTTTGAAGATAAATCGCAACTATTTAACTCACAATACCCAGATGAATACACCGAGTAAACCCAGATGCTTATGTTTGAATTCCTGTTCCAACTCTTTTACAAAATTATCCTTCGACTTGTTCTTATTTGTCGCTTGAGATTGCATTCCAGCAAGCATCTTGGGGTTCAGAGCTCTGCGAGGATCTGACGGCCGCGGCGACGAACCCTGAGGAGACTGGGATTTATTGAGGGGGCCATCCGCACCCGTTGTATTATGGCGTGAGGCCATTTTCTCTGCAAAGAGTGATTTTGGGGGCTCGGTCCACGAACTCGGAAATTTCGGGAGACGCGGGATTTTCAGACTTGTTGTACGCAGGTAGACGGCTGGCAATCTATTCTCTCGCCGGAAATGGTTGCTCTATCAAGGTGAGGTCTTTCTGGGGGTCGGAACGACTCGAGTCATCGAAGCGACAGAAATATTGATATTTGTCCTTTCTTTTTCCCGGAACTTCCCAAGGTTTCCGGCAGGAGCTCTATGTTCAGGAGCTCTAGTTCGCAAGGTCTCGCTAGTGAACTAGGTTCAGCAGCTTGAGAATCTCATGGTCGTAGCTGCAGCTCCATTTGGGGTTGATAAGGTCGAGTGACGGGGACAGGGTTCCTGCAGCTCAATTGCAGACGTCCAAGTGTGCACAACTTAAACACTCCGGCCAGCTTAAAAAAGCGCCAAATCCTGTCCGTGACGTGGGGGAGTCGGCGCTTTCGGCAGCTGATCTCCGAATTGACGCGTTGCCATTGGTTAACTCGGCCCGGATCATTAAAATCCCTGCAGTAGTGGGTCGTTTCCGAATAGGGACAACTGTTTAGGACATCGCTATAGTTGGCCTAGCATCAGGGGGAGGCTTGTACGTGCTCCGTACAGAACAAAAAGTGGGCAATAAGATCATAAGGAAGTATTCCGAAAGCTATCAAGTGTGCCTCTATAGGCCAATAGGTACATTCATCGACGTTCACACCTGTACAGGGCGGCCGTCCAATGTATAGCTTAAACTAAGTACATACATTATCCAGCTGCGAGTCACCGGATACGGAGACCGAGAAGGGAAGGGTAAAGTTAGTCACAAAAGAATAGTAGAAAGGGGACCATGGAAGAATGGTACGCAGGCTTCAAAAGAAAACAGAACGTAACGCCTCTCCAACCCTAGTGACGTGGCAGGGTGGAGAGGATGAGTGACCAAGCACGAGAAATGAACGCCTTAAAAAGAAATCAAAATAGTAAAAGGCCCAAAATCCCACATTAATTGCTGAACACGATTCAAATGTTGTCCATCTCCCAATTGCCGGGCCTGATGCCAGGTAACCAGGCGGATAGAAAGGCGGATAGCGAACCACGTAAAAAAGTGGTACCCGCGTCACAATTAAAACCGTGTAAATACTGCGTGTATGTGCAAATTGTAGACGCGCATTGAAGCGAATCTGTGGTGATATACAACAAGAACGAAGCAGATTTTTGCCGGAACGTGGTCATGCTTTGCGCTGGTCGTAGGGGTATGAAGGAAAAAGATGAATATGGCCGATTGATCAAGAAGACACATAAATGGGTATCGGTTTTGGTGTCAATGCTTAGCCCCATCGCTTTGCGTCATCCTTTTCTTTTAAACCGCCCATACGCTCAATGTCGAGGGATTGGAAGCGTTCTGCATCGCTCGTCTGGTAGGGCGGAAGCTGATCATTGTATGGTTCAAGCCCAACACTTCCAGCTTCACTGATTCGTACTACCACGACCCTGCCAGACTTGCGCTTTCCAGACTCGTCCTCTTCCTCGGGAAATGTGATGCGAATCTCGGGTACAGGGCTGGGAGGTGGACTTGAAGAGTTCTCCATCAAGTTGCGCTTCTCATCAATGACAAACACAGATTCGGTCTTTGCGTAGGGTGGCGCGGTGATCGTGAGGCTACGGTGATGGGTCGAGCATTGACCATTGTGCACCGGGAGCTCAGGCTGTTGGCGGTTCAAGCGTCTGCGACGTAGAACAATGAGGCCACCGACAAGAGCAATGCCAAGTAAGACCAGGACCAGAAGAGAGATCAGCAAGTCAAGCATAGGTTCAGACAAGCCTTCGCTACCTTTGCTGCCATCGTCTCGCGCAAAGAGTCGGTGGATGTTCTGCATCATATTGGTCGATGGAATCGGGAAGTATCGCCGTCGAACGCGGTTGCGAAGGGTTACGTTTATACAGTAATGTTGGGATTACCAACGAAGGGGGAAGTAAATTCGAGAACTGAAGGTGTTGTTGCTGTGCCGACAGTCGGTATGTTCGGTCGGAATTCTTGAGACAAAAAATGGGCGAGTCGGTGTTTCAGGCAAGACTCCAGTATGAGAATCTGGTCGAAGATTACTCCGCAGTGTTGTATTTTTTTTCTTTATTAGAAAGAGAGAATGTATCGGGTCGGTGCGAGATTCGTGGTGGTTCGTTCGGTGATCGGTAGCTGGTCGGTTGGTTTCTCAAGGGTGAGAAACGAGCCAGGCTGGATAAAGAAAGAATGGACAGCAAGGTGAACAGTTGAAAGAGTGAAACCGGCACCTGCTTGGAATGAAGGAATGGCGGGAGGGTGGGATGTAGGATGAAAGCAACGAAAGGAGGATGACAAGGGAAAGAAAAGAGTGAAGGAGGGTTGGGATTTGGGGGACGAGAGGAGAAAGGGAGGAGCGCCGAGCGGCACACCACCAGCAACAGGCACAGGCACAGGAACGAGGCGCAAGGGCGCTTAGGCGAGAATGGCAGCAGGGCCAGAACGCGACCGGCTGTTGGCTCGCTGGAGTTTGGTCTTCTGAGGCGCCGATCTAAAGACGAACTAAAGAGACTAAATGAATCCATGGCCCACTTGGGCTTGTTTGTTTGCCCATTCCCCCTATCGTGAGCCCTTGGCAGAGGTGCTCATGGCAGCAATTTCCAGCCCCGACCTATCACACAGCCACTGTTCCTGGCCGACCGTCATCTTAATTTCTTTACCCAACCCCATTCGCTCTCCCCTGATCACGAACCCAGTCACTAACATCACGAACTAGGCCTGTTGAGTATGGTTTGCGGCCATCGCCTGCTCACAAAAAAAAAAATGTCGATTCCGTCCCTCGGCCCAGCCTCGACATTCTAGAAGACAACCAGTCGTTTCAGAGAGATAAATGGCCCGTTGTTCTATTTAAAAACTGCCAGCGACCTGGTCAATGCTCTTTGTGGCATTGTGCCCCTGCAGGTCATATTATCGTACCTATGTCATTCAGAATTGCGGTGGACCATGGATCATCCAACTGCCACAGCAACACCTTTCTGAAATCATTAAAGTCCCGTCAGCATTAAGCAACAATCCATTATTCTCAAATAGCACGAGAAAAAGTATCCGTATATCCGTCTTCCTCTCGCCGCTGCTTTGCAAACATGCGCGAGGCATTCCACTCAGTCACTCGGCTTATTATTGCCTGGAATTCCGCTATGACCAGGAACCCAATGCAACCCAAGCTCGACCCTGGAGTTCTGAACTGATGTATGTTTGTTTGCTCAAATATATCTCAGAGGCCAAGACTTGATTTGGGGGGCCTGCTAGGCATGAATGCCATGGGATCTGTCTCAAGCCATATTGTGTCTTTGAGAACAGTATGTCGTCTCTCTCGATATTATGTCAAAGTCGCGAGGCCCAGCCTAACCTGCAGTGCTTCTTTGATGGCGAAAACCTCTGCAATGTTTCATTGATTAACGCCAGGAATCTCAGAGCCATTTTCGAGTCACTCGGGGCTTTGCGACGATGTCAACTCTACAACACCAACCCCAACGTAGACCTTTATCTACGGATGGAGTAACCTGGGGATGAAGAGGCATAAGACGACAGTACCAAGCCATCAGACTAGAAACAAGGACACCTTGGTGTTCGGTCATTCCAATGGCATATCGGTGAAAGCCAGGGCTCTATGGCGGAGTTTCTCTCGCTAATTTCCCACAGAATCCGGGGGGCAAAGTGCACTTGGAGAGTTCATATGTAGCAATCTCGGTATTTCTATGCTCTGGAGCGTCGCTGACCTACTGGGCTGGCCTCTAGTGGACTGCTTGTTGTAGGCGTACCCTCGACTCCTGGAGCCCTGGCAACTGCATCGACTATCTCATCGCCAAATGTTTGAGATTCGCTACAGAAGACATCCTGTGTGACGTCAACGAGCGGGATCGAATTTCCAATTGTTCGAGGCTACCGGATGCGCGATTCGAATTCCATCTAATTACTCGGTTCTTCGTCGTCAGGTTGACTCGCGATTCGTGCTCCTCGAAGTTATCAAGGCATTTGCGGTATGGGTATAAGCCCGGGAAAATCGTGACCGCAACGTTTACTAGATATATATATCTGCCTAGTACCAGCAAGTGCTCGAATGAACTGTATAGGTGCAATTTGGAGTCCATTACGTATCATGGCGCAGTCACTTTTGTACTGCTCCAATGCCCTATGACTACTGGCATTTTCAACCCAGTGCAGTTCAGTCCGGGACTTGGTCTGACCTCGGCATATCCAGTAATATACCTCCGCTCTTTGCAAAATAATCGGCATGGTGCCAGTTCCGGCATGTTAACGAGGAAGGTATGGCAAAGGAGAAAGAAAGAGGCAATCAACGTAGGTCACAGGGTATATGTGGATAATGTAAACCCCAAGCTGCATAGACGGCATTGGTAAACTAAACCTCTTTTCTCCTATTAATCACACAATAATATCCAAGTATTCCAAGACTGGTATACCGGGCAGGCCTGGTCGGGCGTTCAGGCGGCATCCCCATCAAGCATGACTGTTCAATTTTTCGTGAAGGGGGAAGGAGACCCAACCTACTTAGTGAATTAGGCCTTCGACCTTTTTTTTCAGCTATCGGCAGTTGCTCTATTTAATAAGGTGAATCATGATCGTCCTCCAAATACCGACCAACCTTTGGTAGGTAATTCCTTGTTCCTTTGGGTTCTAGCCTGGTGCCCCTCCTTGCACAGTATATATATCCAACGCATTGCTAATGGGTTTAAAAAGAGTTTAACTCAGTCTCTTAACCTGTGCAGTTTACTAATGACTCAGGGTTTCGAGACTCGTCCCAAGGAAGACACGCATCCGTCCCACCTATTGTACCGTTGGGAAAGGAACGAAGGGATCACGATATCTA